ACTCTCCGAGGCTCCTTCAGTGAGAAGGCCCATGACACAAGGAGGGAAATGTTGTGCCACTACCGATATTCCAGTCTCGTTGAAACTGACGGAGCGGCATTTTAGTCGAATATGGCGTCTGGTCGATCAGTGTCTGTGTGAAATGGCATATTTGCATAAAAGAGATAGTAAATTAAGCAAGTTTTTGGTTACATTGGTTGAAAAAAAGCATCTTCAGCTCGTGACACAGCTTTGGTGACTACCCCACCAGTCGTTGAAACCACGCCAGTTTGTGACACGAATTCGGAGACTACTCCACCAACCGCTGAAAACACCGCAGCTTCCCCTCCGACGTCTTTCAAAACTGCTTTGCAAACAAAGCTGGACTATAACAATTTTACAGAAGTACCCACAAGGGATCACAATGAAAACTTCATAATAACCGTGGTCCATCTTGAGATGCTTGCCGGGCTGTTTCGCAAACTGGTTTGTGGTAAATGCCAGGCACCGGTTTCCCTGAAGCAAGGCGATGTTGCCAGTCGTGGGTTTGCTGTATGTCTGCGAGTCACAGGTGACATGTGTGGCAATATTTCATAAACGTAATCTCCAGAATGAACCACAAAGTATCCGAGGTTAACAAGGCAATGGCGGCATCTACTGTGTCTGTCAGGCTGGGACATACCACACTGTCTGAGGTGTGCGAGGTGCTGGGCATGTCCTCGCTGACTCTGAAGACTAACCAGAAAATTGTCAAGGGAGTGCATTCCAGGGCAAATTAAAAAATGGTGAAATGGTATGACTTTAACGCCCCTATCAACACTATTATAAGGTTATTTAAGGGCGAGACCTCCTAGTTTAACGTCCGTCTCCGATAGGACCGAGCCAAATGGAAAGTTCGTGTAAAGTGCCTTTCCCAAGGACACAACGTCAAACAGAGCTGAGGCTCGAACCCCCGAACCCGCAATCTCGCGACTACGAGTCCGCTAGCCTAACCACTAGGCTACCGACGCCACGCATTCCAGGGCATGAAGTGTAACATCTGAAGAGAGGATGGTACCTAGTGCCCCTTGACACTTTGCTGTCTCATCTCGTCATAATGCGAGCCAGAATTATTTCCGTTCGCGGCGCATCTCGCCGATTGTGTACCATAACAACGGGATCGTGATGACTAGACCTACAATGTTATTAATCGTAGTGACCCCCCTTTCGTGACATGTGCACCCAATCTAAAGAGTGTTTACTTCCTTTTGTCTCGCAAGAGTTAGCGGGAAATTAAGCGTCACTCTGCCACTTTTCTTCGAGTTTTCGAGCAGTGAAGACGTACGAGAATGAGCGACTTAACGAACTCAACTTCTAGATCTACGGTATTTCGCCAGGACAGTGACTCAGGGCAGTCGGCTTCCGAAAATGCCAGCAATATTTCCTGAATTTCCTGGCTTAGTTGGGATGGAAACAATGAGCAAGTGATAGAATCTGAAGAGTCTGCTAGTCCTAGATCTACGACATCTTCATCTGACAAGCAGAGTCGAGCACGTCTGTTGCTCGTAATTCTACTCGCACTACCACAGCTCCTCATCCAAGTGCTGGGCCTAGGCCACAACCGATCCCTGTAGCAGCAAACAACACCTTCAACTTCGATTTATTTGACCTACAGGACCATTATGTAAATGACTGGCTACCAGACTTTAGCCAGCAGCCAGGACTGTTGGAGGACACCGAAGATTTCAGGCGTGTCAATTTCTTCAACTTGTTTTTTTCACCAGTTGTGATTGATCTCCTGGTCTCACAGACTAACTCATATGATGCCCACTGTCTTGACCCCTTGCCAGCCACCAATTATTACAAAAAGAGGTGGTCTGACACTTACCGTAAGGAGATGCAAGCTTTCATCGGTTTGCAAATAGCCATGGGTCTCAACCCCCAGCCCAGCATCGATGGCCACTGGCGTTCGTTCTGGCTCGTCGACATCCATTTCAAACAAGTGAGGTCAAGGCACCGTTACAAGCTCTTGTCAGCCTTTTTTCACTTCAGGTAAGTAAATGCGGCATAGATCTAATAATTTTATTTTAGTAAAATACCCTACTGGAAATCTAGATTTAGTAAATCTAAATCTTTCTAGGTTTTACATTAGGCCTATACGACAGACTGGATCTACATTCAAGTTCTAGTTTTTATCAAGTGATACATTCACCACTAGATCTGTGATTAGGTTACCGTTATATACTTTTTAATGTAAATGTTCGCCATCCCCTTTTTTTCTCTTTAGTAGGCTACTTAGGCCTAATTATTTTAGATGTAACTGAAGGCAGCAGTGGGCTGGCCTTGCTTCCGTTACTTACCATTGTTGATTTGTCTTTCTGTAAATTTTGGAAACTACATCACATTGTTCATCTACGAGCTTAGCAAATTTTCCCCCCCCCCCCCACAATACCCCAAAATTTAAGCTTGCTGTTAGCACTGATAACTATTTCTTTTTCTCCAGTGATGCTGCGCAGCATGTGCCACGGGGGCAAGCTGGGTACAAGCCACTGCAGAAGATCCAGAACTTCCTTGACCTCATCAGCCCGTCCTTTCTGACTGCCTACTATCCTCACCAGCAGGTCAGCATCGATGAAAGCATGGCCAGGTTCAAGGGAAGGTGCCACTTCAGGCAGTATATGCCGGACAAGCCCACAAAGCGGGGGTTCAAGTGCTTCTGCCTGTATGATCCTGTGTCATATTACTGCCTTCATTTCGTAGTGTACACAGGTAAGGACTTTTCCCCCCTTCCCGACGGCAAAGCGTTCACTGATCACCTGGTTGAAACCCTCCTTGATGGCTACCAGGATAAGAGCCACATTTTGTTTTGTGACAAATTTTACAGCTCCCCAGGATTCTTCAGGGAGTTGCAAAATAGACAGACAGGTGCTGTTGGCACTGTGGTTGAGACACAGAAGGGCTTTCCGGAGCAGCTGTAAAGAATAAAAGAATTCACAGTTCAAAGACACCGGGAGGATTCTGCGCTGTTCAAAAGCCGATGCTAGCGGAGTCTTACAACAATTACATGGGCGGGGTGGATCACTTTGACCAGCTCCACAAAAATTATCACTATCCCCACAGGAGCTACAAGTGGTACATCGCCTTGTACTACTACGTCAAAGACATATGCCTCGTCAATGCACACATATAAAGCAGACGGTGGAACGGACAGCGTCCAAGACTTCAGGTCATCGGTAATTGATGCTCTAGTCAAGCCATATATGGCCATGCGTCCGGGTCGACCTCGTTTGTCTGCTATCCAGCTTGGGCATTTCCCGGCTAAATTCGGTGACGCCAAACATCGCCCACAGTGCAAAGTTTGTTCGTCCATCAAGAAGCGGGCCCAGACAAGGTTTTACTGCCCACAGTGCAACACTGCCTTGTGTGTCCACAGGAAGTGTTTCAGAATCTGGCACACTGCTGCGGACGTCAGACAGGCGCGGCAGCAGCTGGAGTCGTAGTGCTAGTTTTTCATTTGGATCAAGCCCACGTATTTGGATTATATTATGTCACAGGGAGTACATTTAGAATCTTTTGTAGCTACATACACCACAAGCATGCTTTGCAACACTTCAAATTCAAATTTCTCCCATTCATCCACAACTACAATCCTCAATACATGAACATACACATACATATTCGTGTTCTTGATCTAGTGCCTAAATGTTGTGCTTTTGTTGTGGAGTCAAAAAATTTTATGCATCATATTTTTTAGTCAATTTTCATGTAAATATTACACAATTTATTCAAAATAGCCACCTTTGTCAAGTCACAGAATAAAAAAGATTATAAAATCTCAAATATTATTCAATTCTCCAACAGTCCTGCAAGTTCTATAACAGTAGATTATCATGGTACTGAGTAAAGTGAGACACCCCCAATCCCTCTTTTCGGTCCTCCATTTTCACCTTTAGGCGTACCTTTTTATAATATCTCTAAATTGCACCCCAAATAATCTAACCACCTTTATTTGTATTTATTACTGGCCATGGATGTTCAAATCACCTTTTTAGGGAATAATATTGAGGATCTGGTGTGTTTGTGCTTTTGTAGAAGGGGGGGGGGGGACATTTTTTTGTCAATTTTCAGGTAAATATTACAAAATTTATTCAAAATAGCCATCTTTGTCAAGTCACAGAATAAAGATGATTGTGAAATTTCAAATATTATTCAATTCTCCAACAGCCCTGCAAGTTTTATAACAGTAGATTGTAATGCTATTGAGCAATAAGCCTTTTTGTTAGACACCCCCAATCCCTCTTTTTGGTCCTCCGTTTTCACCTATTGGGGTACTTTTTTTATAATGTCTCTAGACTGCCACAAAAATCACCCAGCCACCTTTATTTGTACTTTTTTGTAACCAGAGACGGTCAAATCACATTTTTTGGGCATAATTGAATGGGTATAGTGTGTTTGTGCTTTTCAAGGAGTGAAGGAATTGACTTTTTCTTGAAATTTCAGGTAAGTGCTACATAATTTATTCAAAATGGCCGTCGTGGTGACATAATTTTAAAAAAAATTTTCACAAAAAGAAACCTCATCCACTTGTGCACCCATCCTGAAAATTTCATGGTGAAATATGCATCTGTATTAGGGCAGTGGAATTTTTGTCAACCCACTTGTTTTCTCCTGCCATCCACTTGGTCCATTTATGTGGAACAGATTTCCCATGAAACTAAGACAAATAAGAACACTTGATAGCTTCAAAAGACATCTTAAACATTTTCTGTTCCTACAGGCCTATCCTTCATAAGCTTTTAACGTTATCTTTCATTATAGTTGTTCTGTTCCTGTGTCTGAATGAAAATAGTCTCTGCGCGTGTGTGTGTGTGTGTGTGTGTGTGTGTGTGTGTGTGTGTGTGTGTGTGTGCTTTAATGTATATTGCATGAGAAGAAAGGAAGTAGTAAGAAAGGTTTTTGAAAAATGGGTATTCCAATGTAAAGCGCATTGAGCTACTTTTTTTGGAAATGCGCTATATAAATGTTATATATTATTATAATGTTTGTGGAGAAAAGGGTTTTTTCACTCTACTGTATGTGGTGGAAAAGAGTTAAGAGAAAATCACATATACATTAAGGAACTAAAAGGTGCCTATGAATTTGCCAACAACCGTAGCATAGGGAATTTCAAAATTGTGATCAGCGAGGCGTCGCAACCATTAGGAACTCATGACAGGACAAACAATGCACCAACTCTGAAAGAAGTTGCTATTCTTATGCCCAACAATTCTGTCGGACACCGAGATATTGTGCTTCACACTAGAACTGAACAGCTGCAAAGAATTTCAGAATTTCACATACAGGGTCCACACTAAATCCTGGAAATTTTTTTCAAGACCCCAATTCAAAGGAAAAATAAGGCTGCTGCGCGTCAAGAATGATCACCCAAAAAGCTCATCTATCAATGATAAAAAGTAGGTAGTGTAAACACGGCCTCGCGGGCACTCACGGCCGTCCGAGCGCGTGGTATCAGTGAAATCGGGGCAATTCAGATCGCAGTTTCTTTGCTCTTTCGCGATAAAACACCAAATGCTGTACACCTTGCACTATTAGAAAAAGGTCAGATTGGCTTAATTCCCGAAGACCACCCTACGACGAGCCCATGAACACATTGAAACTACTAGCGACAGGGTTCGCAAGACTGCAAAGGACTTTGACATACCATGTTCAACACTGAAAGACTATCTTGCCCGGAAGAGAGATGGCATAACTTCGTCTGGCTATGCTAAACCCCGCCAGGTGTTTAGTCAGGAGCAAAAGCGTCTACTTGTAGACTCAGGGATGGAAACTGATTAGTCCAAAATTTACTGAATTTTTCGCAGGCTATACGGATTTGGAAAAACACTTATTCAATTGTAGATTAGTACACATGGTAGAATGACTCACCATTGAAAGGACACTTACGGAAAATGGCAGAACAAATCAAAATTAAGGATTTCCATAAATTTACTGAAAATTTCCATCCCTGTGTAGACTACCCCAAGGAAGCTTCTTCCATATAATAAGGCTCAGACCTCATGACAGCCGCCAGCAGAGCTTGCATTTCAGTGCGCAGAAAGGTTCAAAGTGAGACATCTTCCTTCATGGTCTGCCAATCAGGAAGCTGGTCCAGACAGGTTTACACATTTTATGAGAAGGCATCCTGACATTTCACTTCGCAATCCAGAATCAACCAGTGATTCCAAACCTGGATTCTGTCTGGGATATGACATTTACACAGGAAAAAACGACCGGAGGGATCCTTGGTAACCTCTCGGTTTTGAAGTGGTGGATGGCCTGTGTGCACCATATTGCAACACAGGCCATCATGTTTGCATTCATATGTTTTTTAATTCGATGAACATTTGTATGCGAACGATACTTATATGTGTAGCACTACGAGGGGGTGTCAATAAGTTTTTTTACCTAAGTGCGAAGGGGTAGAGGTACGAACTTGAAATTTGAACAGGTTCAAGATACATCTAAACTAAGAATGTACACCAATAATTGGGAATTTCTGATGGTTAGTTCAGGTTGTACAGCAGGTAGTTTAACATCACCCTTGAAAGCATGATTAGCACTTTTCATTTTTGTTCAAAAAACGGAAAAATTTTTCATGAGAGCGGTGATCTCCAAGGAAAAAAACCACGGTCTGTACACTATAAAATGTCAGTAGTGTATGGAGATATCTGCCGAAACTATGATGTGGTCAAATACTGGTGCAAGCGATTCAAATGCGGTAGCATGTCCATTGAAGACAACCCTCGAGAAGGTCACCCTGTCTCATCCATGACTGAAGTTAATGTTTCAAGTCTAGAAGATTGTGCGTAATGACAGGCGCGTTACTCTCGGACTACTTTGTACAGAAACTGGCTTGAGCTATGGATCTGTTGAGACAATTCTTTATGAACATTTGAATATGTCGAAAGTGTCTGCAAGATGGGTGCCCCATCTCCTCACCCCTCATCAAAAAGAGCTGAGAGCACAGTGCAGTCAGCGAATGATTGACATGTTTGATGAAGACCCTGACAACTTTTTGACCGTTTAGTAACAATGGATGAAAGCTGGGTCTATCACTTCGACCCAGAGTCAAAATCTGCTTCAATACAATGGAAAACATCATCTTCTCCAACCCCCAAAAAGCCAAAGTGCAGAACTCATCTGGCAAAGTGTTGTTACACCAAATTTCAAGTTCGTAGCTCCACTCCTTCATACTCGGGTAAAAAATTTATTGGTATCCCCTCGGTGGGGTTGACAAGTTCGACCAACAGTTGTTATATTATCCCGTTGGGAGACCTAGAAAGAAATGGTGGAGGCATGTGGGGTGCACATCCATATCCCAATCAAGACATCAATGATGTTTGAAACTAAACACAGTAACAGAAAATCATTGGAACTGAATTATTTCCCTCTGCGTGATCCTGGACCAGGTGTTCCCTGAGGAGCTGTTGCACTGTACGGGTTAACTCAACCCATTTTGGTTCTACAACAATGTCCAAGCATTTCAATCAAAGCCATTTTCACGTTTCAAACCACTCCTTTCTTGCATCTGTTCCCAAACGTACTCCAGTTGAAGACTTTTGATGACTTCTCCTCACTCTGGGTGGTGGCGATCTTCTTTTCCCGTGCCTCAAGCAAAGCACGCCCAGTTTTCCATAGGGAGCATCCTTATCACAGTCGTTCACAGGGAAATGCCAGCCGCCATCATCTTTAGCCGGGCCAATACTGAACAAATGTCTTCTCTGTGGATAACAAAGGAAAAAAGATCAATACTTGTCCATAATATAATGGTCGAGGGAGGAGAGGAGATGGGTAGAAAAGGTGGTTTCAAGCACAGTCAAAATTGTCCAAGACGGAAATCTGTTGTCGAGGAGAAAAGTGGTTGTCTCAGACAGGTGCACGTCTTGGACACTGTCACTATAATATTTTTTTGAAAGTGCTGGGGGGAGAAATGGGAAGTAGTCATTTGTTCAGGTGATTGTTTCGGACATGTGGCTGTTATTAGAGCAAGTTTGACAGTGTATGCCTTTTCAAGTTGGGGTGTTTCAGGTAGACCCAGGCTGGGAATGGATGGCATATATTAAAAAGGAGAATTCAGCTTGATTGGTCACCTTGGGAAGAGAAGTTCACACATAGACATGGTTATACAAAGCTGATGATGTTTCACTTTCTTTAATGTGATGTGTTTGACTGCTTGTGGAATGAAATATTTAATGGTAACAAATAAGACAGGTTGCTCATTGACTTTCCATTTCATTAATTCTGTTCATACAGCTGACGACATTTCGATTTAAAAACATTCTACACAAGACTAAAAGACCAGCATATTTAACAACATTTAGAACATTATCAGCTTATCACCTCAATATTCATACCAACATTATGTTATCAGTGCCAGACCTGGACTTTAAGCAAAACCCAAGAAAGCAAAATCACCACATGTGAAATGAAATGTCTCCGCAAAACCCTTAACATCACAAGACGAGACAGGCAGAGAAAGGAAAAAGTAAGAGCAGCTATCGGCACAGAGTCCAGCCTGCGTTACATAGAAAGACAGAGGATAAAATGGTTTGGCCACCTGTTACGCATGTCACCTGACCAGCCAGCCTCGAGAGCCTACAACACCAAGCACTCAGGCTATAAAGGAAGAGGAAGGTCATGCAAAAGGTGGATCGAGGTTGTCAAGGAAACCATAAGAAAACACAACATTACAACTGAAAGAGCTGCAGAGCTGGCCTACCATAGAAAACTGCATCCCCCCTCGACGCTTAACGGAACAGAGGATGAAAGAGTAAAAAGTAAAAGTAAGTAGAACATCCTTTCACGACAGCATCATTTTTATTTCAAAGTAAAGTGATAACTGCTGTACACACCTCAACTCCTTCAGACTTTGCAAAAGTATAATCTTCAATCTATCAAATGATAAGAATTAAAATTGAAGCACACAGTACATCCTTTTTGTTTTAGTAAGGGTCCAGGGTTTTACGGAGCTCGCAACTTCATAAAACACAGTATATTTGGATCAAAAGTGCGAATTTGATTAAATGATAAAGACATCCTCAAAGCAAAGCAAAGGTAACCACATCACAGTCTTACAAAACAAAGGTCACAGGTAAGAGAATATCATGGCGAAATTGACCCAACTAACTCCCCAAATAATGAAAGACTTAAAATCAAAAGAAATGAGCCAATAATTTGAGGAACACGCTAGTTCATAGAAGTATTAGAAGCGATTAGAGTGTAAATCTGAAATCATCAGTCTGACAAAGCAAATATTTGGGGTTTTTAAAAAAAGTTTAAAAAAAAAAAAATTACCCGGATTCCAAAATCGCCGTATCTCGAGAAAAACCAGTCGTAGATCTGGACTGACTGCAGCCACTTGTGGAAGATTGGCCTCAGCTTTCGCTCCAAACGGAATTTATGGTCCCTCAGCTTGTCAAACGAAACAATCAGCGTGTCCTTGCTGCTGTGTATGGCAGCGTACAGAAAGAAAACATCGTCTGCCTTCCTGCCCAAAAAAAAAAGAAAACCCACAATAAGGCTGTTAGAACAAGAGATGATGACCAAAGCTGTAACTAATCACTGTTTTTAGGTGGCGCCAGTCTCTTACTGTATCTGACTTATCTCTGTTGCACATCTAAATCATTACTTAAGTTGAGAAGATTAGAGAAGTAATTTAGCTAAAATGAGAATGATGGCAGCGTGAAAGTTTATTTAAACAAACTCAAGATGAAAATTTTAGTGAAGTCTTAATTTTCTCTTCATAAAACCAACAACTAATCTCAAAATCACAAAAATGACAGAAACCCCTCTATTTGGATTTCATGTGTGATTTTCATCCACAAAAAGTTACATTAGATTAAGGACAAAAAGTGTATATGCACATCGTACCATACAAGAAATGCAAACAAGATCAAAAGACATTTACATACACCAGAAAAAAATTATAAGAACTTACGTAGTGGATGTCATGTATATTGTCGGCTTTGACCCTGAACGTCGGAAATTTGATGCAGAAACCTTGAGAGCTTTGGATCCTAAAATTAGGATCTTTTTATTGGCTTCTGCAAAGTAGGCTACTGCTCGTTCCAGCTGAAAAGCAGAATTTGGAATTTAAACACCCTGAATTTAAAAAAACAACCTCAATAAGATTTGTTAAAAAGCAGCTCAGTGAAAATTTCAGATATAATATAAGATTTTGTTGAAAACAGACTCAGCAGAGGTAGCTTGGCACTGACTGGTCACTGCACTTTTAACATTTTCAAGATCCATCCATCAGTACAGGTTTTTCTATCCTCCCAAATTCTTAACCTTTTTTTTTTTTTTATAGTAGAGGGTTTTACAGCGCTCGCAACTGCATCAGGTCATATGAGCGCCAAGGGGTGGGTGTCAACAGAGAAGTCTTTACAGGGAATCAGACTTAGACTGCTCACCTCTCTAGCTTCAACAGCACAAGGTCTGCTTCGACTATGAAGGCACCCCAGAAATAGCAGGTCACAAGAGAGTGACAAACATACAAAAGAAGTAGAGGAAAATGACAATAGTAAGGATCAGGAAAGAAAAAGCAACAGTTCCCTGTTGTAGATCAGGCACAGTTATGAGCGCGACATGAGTCAGCCCATTTACAATTCTACTATGCTTGAACGAGAAATGTCCCCCCTTTGGGAATGGCCTAAAGACACTACAGTCAGCGGCACTGCCCCGGGGGGTATTCTTAACCTTTTTAGCGTTGAAAAGTGTGACTTTTTGGTAAAGAGAGTGAAGAAATCAGTAATAATTCTGTGTGTAATTGGACAATCTACAAGCAACATTCATAAATCATACATCATGTTCGTGGCAAAATACTCTATACAATTATGGGAACAGAACCATTTCAAATCTGATAACAAGGGGGGGAAAACTTGTTAGTAATATTAGTAAGACATAGACTGTGACAAAACTGTACAAAGGGCAGTGTGTTGCTGCATTTTGCTAATACAGAGAAAACATGTTGTTATAAAACTGAATGTCAAATCCACAGAAGGAAAAATGCTTAATATTAAACCTGACAAAACTGGGCTTATGTCTCAATTTTCCATCCATTCTCAGAAACTTACATCTCATTTTAATAGGTTGAAATATCTATTTTCTCTAAATTGAAAAAATTAAAGACAAAGTAACCTTTCTGTAAACAAACAAGATATACTTACTCTCTCCCTCCGCGGAGGCTTGGGACCTTTGTGTATGACATTCAGGCCATCTATCACCACGTCGAAGGGCCCATTCCTCTCCACAAAGTCCATGAAGTGCTTCAGCTCTTCGGGCGTAGACTTGTAGAAAATATTGCTGCCGACGATGACCTGGTCAGTGAAGGCTGACCGCAGCCCCGAGAATTCTTCATCGGTGACGTTCAGTCTATCCATCTGATGCCGACAGACGACACAATTACCCCTGCAGAAAAGCAGGGTTGAGTTGATTTAAATAAGTTGATTTTTAAAATTTAAATCAACTGGATTTTAAAAATAAAAATCAGTGATTTAAATCCCTTTTTTAAAAATTTATTTTTATTCAGTTTTTACACATTTCAACATTCAGAATTCCTTTCCTTGGTTTCATAAAACAGATATAAGGTTTAGTAGACTAATATAATCATGCTTAAAAGTCTGCTTTCCCCCCTGTCACTGTAAAATAATACAGTTCTGAATTTACTTTTTTTTTCATAATTGAAAACCAGGGTTGGGTTGATTTAAATCAGGTCGATTTAAATCAGTTGATTAAAAAAAATTTAAAACTCAGTGATTTAAATCACTTTGAAAAAAGATATTCTGTTTTTACATCTTTAAACATTCAGAATTCCTTTCCTTGGTTTTATAAAACAGATATAAGGTTTAGTAGACTAAAATTGCGTAAAAGTCTGCTTTCCCCCCTGTCACACTGTAAGTAGTAAAATAATACAGTATTCAATTTACTTATTTTTCATAATTGAAATTAGCATTTTCTTTTTCTTTTTAGACAAACACAAGCGCGCGCACACACACACACACACTGTAATAAAATGCAAGTTTATCTATGCATAATTACCCCCCCTTCCTTTTAGACTTACATTTTCTTCATTTTTTTGTCTGTAGCCATAATTCACTGATATAGTAGATTAAGGCTTTCTAAAATTGCAGTTGCTTAAATTAATCATTAGTTAAAATAAAGACAATGCTTTTTGCACTAAAGAACATACTTTTAGCCACCAAAAATCCCAAACTGTGTCGACATTTTTAAATTTAAAAAATCAAAAAAATCCATTTAAATTTAAAAAATCTGATTTAAATTTAAAAAATCGATTTAAAAAATTTTTATTTTAAAAATAAACAAAATCACCAACCCTGCAGAAAAGACACAGTCATGAATAACCGTTATTTTAGTAAAAGTTTCACGGCATTAGCAGCTTAATAAGGTCATATAAGTGTCAGAAATTTTGGAGTAACTAGAGTACCATGCAAAGAAAAGAAGGAGAAGTAAGGACGATAGATCATGTTGATAGGAAAGAAGGAGCAAACTATACAAGAACACCCGCCAACCATCCACCTGGATAGATAGAGATCAGAACAACAGCAAGGCTGGTAAGCAACTGACCACACATTAAATCTGGCTAAATGAAGAATTTCACCTGGTTCATTCTTTTGTCGCAAAATTTCAAATAAAATTGCTTTACTCCATCATTCCCATATATTTCTTTAGACCTGCCGAGACAAAAAGACCATCCCCTCCACGGCTGTTCACGGGCAGTACTTTAAACCAACGGGTCAAGAGGTTAGCGCGGGGAATTTTACCCAACCGACAAATTTGTGATGAAAATGTTATTGCGGCAATTTAAGGCTTTGTTTAACCTGCCACTAAGCCTGAGCTACAACACAAATTGTGCATTTAACAGCATTCTTTGAATAAGCATCATCTGACATATTTCTTAGAGCAATCGTGCAACTAATTAAGATAAAGAAATACGAGGTGACGCATAAAGAAAAGTGGATACATGATTAACATTGACAGAGGGTCATGATTTATTTAATTAAATTTAAACATGATAGTTGCGGACGACGTTGACAATGTTAAGGTATTGGGTCAGAAATTGAATAAAGTTGCAAACTCACTTTGTTTCATCTTTGTGTCGTTCCCAAAAGCAAAGATATTGAGTCTAGAGTAGAGATTCACAGCTTTCTGCAATCTGGCCTTGGTTTCCCTAGTCCAGCTGTCACATGTGACAACTCTTGATTAAAACATACCACTCTAGGATCGTGGGTATCACCCGTCAGGGTGTCAGCCCTTACAACCGTACAGTATACCTATCCCAACTAGATTTGTAAAGAATTGAAACCGTAGGTCAGTTTGCGAAGTCATTCACGTTTAAATTTAAACAACACTGAACATGGAATCTGATTCGTCTATGTCATTTTAAATAATATAAGAAAAATTCCAAGAAAAACGACACAAACTTAAAACTTGCACAGTATACCTATCCTAACTAGATTTGTAAAGAATTGAAACCGTAGGTCAGTTTACAAAGTTATTTAAGTTTAGATTCAAACAACACTGAAAATGGAATCCGATTTGGTAGAAACACGTCTAAGAGAACGTCTATGTCTTTTTTTTTTAAATCACAGAAAAGCAACACAAAGTTGAAACTTGCACAACGTGTACAGTATACCTATCCCAACTAGATTTGTAAAAAGAATTGAAACGATTGGTTAGTTTTCAAAGCTATTTACGTTTGAATTAAAATAACACTGAAAATGGAATCTGATTCGGTAGAAACACGTCTTTGAGAAAGTATTTCAATAAAATCAAGATTGCGAATGGAGATCGACCAAAATTATACCGTCTTGTAGGGAGGAAAGCGAGCTTTAAAATGAGGGATCATGTAGTGATATCGCATCATTAGATCTGGAGATATCAGGGTGGGAAAGACACCATAATTTGGAGGAATTGCAATACACAGGCAGGTGGGGGCACGTCGCTGGCGTCATAGTAGTGAGCACGGCAGACCGCTGAGTTACTGACCAACACATGGGTGGCACTGACCGCTGGCACGGAGCAACTAAAGGAGCTGTTTCCGGGCGAGTTGAACACCCGTGCCTCTGGTCTTGATTATATTAAAGTACGGAACAGCATTATTAACAAAACAAAAAGAAAGGTATATTTAGAACTTGAAAAGGCAAACAGACAGACAGAAATAACAGATTTTGTGCATAGAAAAGAAGTAAAGCCACCTAGCTCGCAGTATAGAGTGGTGAAAAGAAGGCACCAGGGACTTCAAGAAACGAATCCTTCTACTTCGCGCAAAAGCATAGCACTCAGTTCAATCGAAAGCCTTACCCTTTATGGTGTATGTATCCATACGTTTCAGTCCACTTTCCTGGCTGATGGCTGAAAAGAGATAAATAGTAAGTCATATATACAGCTGTTGGAAAATCCGAACAAAAGAGAAACTGTAAAAGTGTCAAGATGGAGTAGAGCACTTCTTAAAAAAAAAAAGACTAGCAATACCAATTTCAGTATTTTGTCAGAATATAGCAACCGGAGGGAGGAGCAAGTGGGCAAGCTGAATTAAAGACACAACAATAAGTCCTGTAAAACCAAGGTTCCAGTTCAACAGTACTGTCCTGTTTTTTATTGTTGTCAAAGCCCAAAACTTTATTAGACACAAACTGGAGTGCTAACTTTTTCTAAACCCAATCAGGGACACCCAACATCAGAACATGTAACAATGAACAAATTACATCAACTGGGACAGATTTTAGTACAGTGCATATTATATACAAAAAGGCTATCAAATTCCAGATTCCTTAACACATAACCAGGCCGTGCCTGGAAAAAAAAGCAAAGATCAATACAACTGAGCCAGAGAGTGAGCAGCTGCAATGACCATGTAGCCAGGTGTGCTAGTCACAATGAAGAAACCTATCTATCACTAGCAAGTCAAAGATTTACCATATAAACACAAAGATATATATATATATATATATATATGGTAAGCCTTGAAACTTTGAAACACTCAAGGTACAAAACACAAAGCACCAGTGTGAACATATATTCCACAGCAAGCTGTTCAATTGTTCTCAGCCCAGAAAGATATTTCTTCAGGAGAGAGGGGAAAAAAAATGTTTCATACTTTTTGAAATTTTACCCAAGTTCCAAATTATGTATCTTTCCTGGTTTTCTTTTTTAAACATTTAAAATTTGAACTTCAACAAAATATTTCTGGACCAAATGCAACCAACACCATATATTAAGAAAGCAAGGCAAAAAATTCAAACTTTTCGGCTCAGTACAACTGAACAGAATAGCTGGACGACAGTATGTACTTACCTGTGGAATGTCTCCACTATCTCATCCAACTGTTTTTTCGGTATCAAAAGTCCATGCTTTTTCATAAACTCCATTACTCTCGTAAGGCCTCTTTCATTTCCTACAGTCAGACTTGTGCCCACAATCTGAAATTTGCGATGCAAATTATCAAAATAAATCTCAGTAAATTATGGACTACATCAAGAGATCAGCAACATGAAACCACATAAATTAAATATCTAATGCTCTTTGTTAATAAAATCGAAATTCAGTTCATGAGGAACTAAAATTAATGAAACCCTGTCTACCACTGCACTTGACTGTTTAGTTTTAGTTTTAGTAGAGGTTTTACGGCGCTCGCAACTGCATAAGGTCATATGAGCGCCAGAAGATTAGAGGTGTTACAAGAGAGCAACAAACATAAAAAAAAGAAGAAGGGGAGATAAGGATGATAGATGTTCGATAGGAAAGAAGGAGCAAACCACACCAGAGCACCCGCCAACCACCCACTCACTTGACTGTGTACACTTACTTCAGAGTAAAACACATCATAATAACTTACTAAAATAGACACATGATCAACTCCCTGTTACCTCTTCATGTCATGTATTCACCAGTATTCAGACAACATTGAATTGACTAGAGACTAAAGGAAAATTCTTTGTCTCGTCTTACTACTCAAGTACAGTAGTACTAGCATTGTCTCCACCTCCTTGTAAAATCAAGTCAGCCATATGAGTTGGCCACCAGTTACACTAATAGAATAATAATAATAATAATAATGATAGCGTATCTGTCAGTGTCTGAAGATGACAAATGCATCTGTAGAAGAAAGTATTTTTTAAACGAAATAGAAAAAATAAGGGTTAATGGTTAAGATGACTCTGTGGTGTTTTCTATGGCCAATGAGACCGACCAATTCTGGAAGAGAAGAGTTGGAGTATGCCACATTTTGAACATTTAAAAGCTGGATTTCTATTTATGGATGTGTGCATAGATGGTGGGCTTTTCTCTTGTTTTCATCATTTCCAATTCGACAAGCCTCACATGACTTATTGCTTTCTCAGTGTGTCTGTCGAGAGCTGGGCTCATAATTCCTTGTGTGGAGGAATAAAAAAAAAAAATTAATATTGAAGTCCTTCAAAGACATTTTCAGAGTGTCTCTTCTTTTGGTGCGCCCAAATTTATGCTTCCCTGACACTAGTCAGAGACTAAAAGAGACAAATTGCTATTTTTAAAAATCTCCTTCCGGGTAAATAGTAATTAGGCTAAAACTTATACAAAGTTCAATGACCGACAAAAAAAACTTTCCCAACAGAGGACAACAAAAGTCCTGATTCCTCTTTCCTCCTACATAAGTGAAGTGCACAAGAAGATCTAATGACATAGAACAATGCTAATAATCTTACCTCTGCAGCTAGTGACTGCAGTTGAGTTGGTTCAGCAGCTTGCTCATATTCAGACAGAATGAGTTCACAAAGATCCATGTCATGATATCGAAGACTCGCCAACAAAACATGGAATAACATGCCAGACCCAGGGTTGTGAGTCTCTCTACAAATTTCCAAAAGCTTTAGGCATTCCAGGTAGTGACTGCTGTAAGCCAGACCCTTGATGAGAACCTACACGTGAGAAAGGCACAAAAATTATAAACTAATTATAATATATGTTTAACTAAATTAAGGAAAGTAATGAAACAGAAAGGAACAAGTGACACCCCGCCCCCCTCCTACCAGAACGTAGTGCAAATAATGTCATCACACAAAACTATGGGTGAATGAATTGCCAAACACTGTGCTTAAACAGATGAAACCTATCAACACAAAGTAGTTAATAAACTAAAACCATAACTTTCAAATATTATTAATATTTCGAGACACAGGTCTAACTTGAGCTGACCACTGACAAAATAAGACGGATAGTCCAGCCCCCCAAAACGGGACTTTATAACATCACATTTCTCAATCGAAAAAAAAAAGAAGAATAAAACATTAAAACCCTGCACAACGACCTATGATGTAAAAAGCCTCTCAAAACGAACAAAGCAAAAAAAAAATTATCATTCCTTCCACACTATATCACTGACAAACCTAAAACAATATTACACTCTTCACAGACCTGCCACTCTATGAAACCTAAAAATCAGGATTGTAGAGGGGGAAAAATCAACGACAAATCACCCTAAGCATCTGCCCAGCTGACTAAAAATGTTCCTGAGGTGTCCATAAATATGCCCATGTATACGTCCTGTGTGTGTGTGTGTGTGTGTGTGTGTGTGTGTGTGTGTGTGTGCGCGTGCGTGTGCGTGTGTGTGTAGGTGTAGGTGCGCGCGCGCGCTCGATATTTCTTTAAAAACCTGAAGTATCACTCCCCCACACCAAGTAAGTCCCAAAAATACTTCAGCCCGTGTGCATGAACTTTAGTTGACCCCGTCAAGGGACGGTCCCCGACACACGCGGAGCTCACGCGCCGGAGTCATGTCCTGTGATATGAACGCGCGACTGAAAAGGATTTACTGACGGACGGGTCTTCATGACTGTCCCGACTAACCAGACCTCAAAGCTTTTTTTTTTTTTTAGTAACGTTTTACGGCGCTCACAGCTGCAAAAGATCATAATCATATGAGTGCCAAGGGGTGGATGTCAGCATAGAAGTTCAAACGGGGAATCAGGCTTACCTACTCACCTTTCTTGCCTCAACAGCACAAAGTCTGTTTTGACTATCAAAGCACCCTGGAAATAGCAGTTCACAAGAGAGTGACAAAAATACAAAAGAAGTAGAGGAAAAACGACGATAGTAAGGAATAGGAAAGAAAAAGCAGCAGTTCCCCGTATGCAGTTCAGACGCAGTATGAGCACGACATTGAAAATGAAACGGTGAAATGGCATGGGTTTAACGCCCCTATCAACACTATTAGGTCATTTAAGAGGTAGTTTAAAGTCCGTCTCCGAAAGGACTGAGCCAAGTGGGAAATTCGTGCAAAGTGCCTTTCCCAAGGACACAACGTCGGACCGAGCTGAGACTCAAACCCCCGAACCCGCAATCTCACGATTACGAGTCCGAAGGCTACCGGCCCCACGGAGCACGACATTGATAAATCAGCCCATTTACAATCGTACTGTGCATAAGAACATGTATCCCTCCTTTGGGAAAGGCCTAAAGACATTTCAGTCAGTAGCACTGCCCTGGGGAAAAATCGGAATCAACAGCAAAACACCGATGTGACTGCCAAGCTGACATAACATTTTTTCTAAGGGTGTCCATATGTCCTCCGTGTGTGTGTGTGTGTGTGTGTGTGTGTGTGTGTGTGTGTGTGTGTGTGTGTGAGTGTGTGAGTGTGTGTGAGTGTGTGTGTGTGTTTTAAAATATCCTGACGCATCACAAGGCCAAGCACTCCTAGTACAAGTATCTAACTTCCCCCCCAAACCAACAAGTCAGGAAAAAACATTTCAACCAGTGAGCATGAACTGAAGTTGACCCCGTCAACAGACGGTCCCCCCAGACACGCGCGGAACTCGCACGCCGAAGTCATTCATGTCACGTGATGCGAACCAGAGGTTTGAAACAGTTTTATGGACGGGCCCAACAAACTGCGCATTCACACCAAACACTCGGACGAGCGACAATCGATCTAGATATCTAGTTCTACCCTAACGACAACAGCCGACCCACCAAATGTACCAATAAATCTCGTATCCCTCATACTCATATATATTTATATAAGCGTTCAGACCAAAGCAACGACAACGACCGAGTGTTAGAACGACCGAGCGTTAGAACGACCGAGTGTTAGTCCGGTCGGCGCAGTTAGTTGCAAAAGGATAAGGGCTTGTGTGTCCATTGGGACAGAAACCAACCGACCCGATTCCGTCCGTCTCTCGGAAAGTCGGTTTAAATGGAGCACCGATTTTTCCCCTAAGAAATCAGTGAAAATTACGTATGGCTGTGTCAACTCAACAGACATGACACTACACGCCCCGACAAAAGACGTGTTGGTTGGAACTTGGAAAGCTTGCTGCATTTTAGCCGCGCGGGTGGCGACTCATCAGACATCCACCCCGCCACAGCGAAAACAAACTTATAATTTTGAATTTGGATTAAAAATCTGTCATATTCATGATCAGCGCCTCACAATTAGCAAACTCTATGCGAAACCATATGGTTTAAATGCATTATAACAATTTTACCAATTTGACTTTAAAACCCATACATTTCATTTCTTTTTTCCGCCCTGGGTTCATGTGACCTCTATAGGCCTGAAGTCCGCCACGACACAGTCTAGCGTACACATCCAGGGAAAAAGTAGACCTACAGACTAGACGTGTCTTTTCCGAACTGTGTGGACACACAAGATGGAAACGACCGGACCGATTTTCCTCCTCCCAACAAAAATCTGCTCATGTCCGTCCCAATGGACATGAAGCCTAAGAACGACAGTCGCTCTTCAGAGTGTTTGATGTGAACGCGTGGTTTCTAGAACTTAGACGAGGCTTGTTTTGAAAGTAACGGCAGAACTACAAATATTATCGATTATTTGTATATGTTGCAGTTGTAACAGTTATCAGGCTATCATTGAAGAATTCTGAGTGCAGGCAAAAATCAAACACAACTTGGGGCGAGTCAACTACTAATTCCGGCATTGATATGTCGAAAAATAATGCTCCAAGTTCCTACTGACAAAAAGTTCAATGGGTGCTTCCTGCGATAGAGAAGAAGGCAGAGTAAGTCAGGTCTTTTTTTAACCCGGCGCAACAGCAAACTGGAACAAAAAATTGGGATACAATCGGAATCGGGATGTTTGAGATGGGGCCAAAAATTGAGATATCCCGATTAAATCCGAATGAGCACTACACCAACTTGCATAGCCTACACACTTTTTCTTAAAAAGCAGTCTTTAGTTTAAGTAAGAGTTTAACTGCACTTGCAACACAATTACCAATTAGGTCATATAATATATAACTGTTGAAACTTGTTGTTACTTGATAGAAACGTGTACATTTAAAGAAATGAAGAGAGCAGAGATGGATGTATGATAAGAAAGAAGGAGCAAACAACACCAGACCACCTGCCAACCATCCGCTAAGCAGCCTTTAATTTATAAACTGTACATGTGTCAAGACGTGGTGGAATCAGGCGCGTGTTAATTTTTGGGCATATATGGGATTATTGGTACCATCTTACAGCCTGTTCATTTTCCTTCCTTTTGGTGAGAAAATATTCATCTACGTTGAATAGAAGTCGAAATATTTGTGATTGAAGGACATCAGGGCTGCCTTGTTTCAGAGGTAAAATTAGCTGCCAACATTTGGTAAATTCTGAGAGTCCTTGGAAACTAAAAATTTATATTTTTTGTGCCTTTTAAGTTTAATCAACTCATTTCAGTAAAATTACACCTAAAAAAAAAGGTTTTAAATTGACATAAAAGGTGTTGAGCCAAAAAAAAGGGAAACTACAAAAAAATTGCCCATCGGCCCCCCAAAAATGGCGATTTCTTTGATTTCATTATTTTGACGTCATGACGAGCATCTGGTTTCACCACGATGCCTCACATATAAAAATATAAATAATACAAACCATGTTATACTGCCAGCCCCTCTATACTCTCTATACCACCAACTTTATACCCGTCCCAAGGTTGGCGGTATAACAAGGTTTAACTGTAAAGTCAAAAATGGACAATTTAAAAGGTCATTTGCACAAACCAACCTCAATAGTGGCAGCATCCAGCAGATCTGTTGCTGACATGAAATCGTCATAATACTTCTTCAACTCTTGATCCTGGTTTACATTTTCACCTGATGTCGCCCCTAATAAAGCAATAAAGTAAGGCACAACAACTCTGTTCGGACAATCGTCTTTTCCCTCTAAATAATTCATCAATGAGCGCCCTAATTCAACATTGCGATCTGCGTACAGGGTTTGCATACACAAGGCTTCCCACGGTCCTTTCACATTGGAGGAGATGAGTGCTGCCACTTCATCCCAGTCGGCAATACTCCAGTCTCCCGAGTCTTTTTTGCTAATCAAGTCCCTGAAGAGAGCTTGGCCTTCCGTTCTGTCTCGTCTCATTATCCTATTATTCAAACTGAATACAGAGGTCTTTGGACTCCGTCGCCATTCACTTTCCCTTTCATTCAGGTCGGAACTCATAAAACGCTTGCAATGAATAGTCGCACGGTGAACACTGTCATTGATACTGATACAAAAGAAATGTGTCCTAGTTCCCAGGGGTCTGTGCTGTTGACAGCCAAAGGAACCTGTTCCAAACTGTATTCTGCTCTGGCTTGTGAAGCTAAGAAGTCTACTCATTGATGACGTTCTCAATCGATGGAAACAGCAATTTATTAAAGGTTGCAAAATGCTGTTGTGAGCCAGGTGGGCTCCAGACGCAAATTGCTGCATCATGACTTCTGGGAGAAGGAAACCCCTGAAAAATAATAGGGAAAATATAATATGAGATGGTAAAGGCAAACGTGTCACACACACACACAGACAGAGGAGGACAAAAAGAGGACGAGAGGAAGGCAAAGAGAGAAGAAAGAAAAACTACAAGAAAAGAAAAAAAAAAAGAAAAAAAGAAATTCAGTTGAGGAAGGAAGAAAGTAAGCGAAAGATGGAAGAGAAAAAGAAATCAAAATCAAAAGCCCAGACAAGAGATCCAACGTGTCAAAGAAAAAAGGGCAAACAAACAACCGCGATCACATCATGTAGGCTATAAAATTTAGGCTGGCTGTATTTCTCCGAACGCTCGTAAAAATAAACTTGAACTCTATTTCTACGAACGGTTTCCGTTCTCGAGACTTTTTTTTAAAATTTGGTGTAAATGTATATTTTCAATTCTTAAAACAACTTTCATAAAAAATTTTAATACTTCAATTTCGCTCTACAATTACCCATAAAGGCCTCTAAGGCCTTCATAAAATCCAAAATTCTGTTGGGATCAACGACGGCAAAAATGTCTTGCAATTTTTTGCATTTTAAGTATTTCCTTTGGATCTCTCCGAAGTCTAAACATTCGCTTTTAAAATGTGTCTAATGGTAAAATCTCTGTCGCATCTGACACAGAACAGCTTCTCATCTCCCTGATGGAGGTATTTTTGTGTGTTAGGGCCGAGTGTCCGATGCGTAATCGAGTAAAAATGACTTCGTCTCTTCTGGAGAGGTCCGAAGGATTTCGCGATCCCAGTTTGGGTTTAATATAGAGTCTAGTGGAGTTTGTTACCCGTCTGTTTTTTTCAGTGTGGCTCTCCCACAGACTGGAGGAGTACTTTTTTACTTTAAAAAAAAAGTCAGTCTGTGGGATAGTGTTCGTCAATGATCTCAACAGATGGGACAAGGATTTTTTCGCCAGGTCATCTACCTGCTCGTTTCCTCAGATGCCCACATAGCTAGGTATCCACGCGAACACGATATATTTTTCCCTGTTTCATCTAAGGTGTGAATTTTCTGTTGTAGCCTAACTATTTTTGGGTGTAGGAGTGTGTAGTTTGTGAGTGAGGTGATGCAAGACAGAGAGTCAGAAAGGATAAGGAAAGATTCGTTAGGAGAATTTTCTACGGAGTCCAGTGCCATCAATGACAGTGGCCTCCGCAGAGAAAATGGAGGCTTCATGATGGAGTCTCCTCTGGTGTGTACTGTGTGTGTTTGAAGATAGGGCAGCGGCGCCCACACCATTGTCTTTTTGGAGCCATCTGTGAAGATAAGCTCCACACCGGGGTATTTTTCTATAAGTTTTTTGTATTCCGCTTTAAATATTTTGGAGTTTGTGCTTTCTTTTTTGTCGTGTGTGGTCAGCTGTAAGTCTACTTTGAGACTTTTGCCTTGGTGAGGTGCCACGGAGGAAGGTCGGGGAAAAGAAATTGTTGGATGTCTTGTTTGGAAAAGTGTATGTTTTTGAGGTCCTCAAGGATTCTGATGCCGAAGGGTTTGATGAGTCTTACGATATTTTGGAATTTGTTTATGGTTTCTGGGTTTGTTTTAAAAAATGCCTGCATTTCACAATGAATTGTTGATGGTTTAGTTTTTTTAGAGGCCATATGATAGATCTACGTGTGTTCTGCCTCAGCAGCAAAGATTTCTATGGCAGTTCTAGATCTAGCCCTTAAATCAGTGCATTTGTATTGGAAAGTGGCTATTCTCACCCGCCAGAAGTTCTCGCAAGATCAACTCCTCCCTTCTTCTCTCTCTCTCTGAATACTGTCTATCGGTGTGGACGATCAAATTGACCAAAACAAAGTTAAAAAATGATGTTAAAACACAAAAGTAAATTAATTTGGTTGTCTACAAAGATGCTACGGCTATTTAACTTTTCGAATCGAGCCGAACTACGCGGGTCGCCATTTTGTTTTGCCCGGAAATTCTCGCGCTACTCCTCTCTCTCTTTCTCTCTCTCTCTCCACTGCCCACAGACAAAATTGTACGCTTTTAGTAGGCTACAGTTGTAATGGAACATTTGTTCACGGCACAGAATTCTACAATTTTTCTGTTATCACAGTGTAGAATTCTGTGGTTTAGGGTGAACGCAAAATTTGGTGAACGCGCACCGGGTGAGAATAGCCACAAGACTCGCCTGCACTATATAGAGGTGGCCTTTGTATTGTGTGTAGGTGCATAGATCTATAAGTACCCAAGTTAGCATAGATCTTGATCAAGATACCAGTCAAGTCGGCTTTGATCACACTTCACTTTTAACTGTCACTGTCACCGTCAAGTCAAGGAGACCGCCATGAAGATAATTTCGTTTCAGATTTCAGACAGCATGGTTTCCGTATAAAAACGATAAACAGCCTATTATCTATACATACCTGCTGCAGAGTATGGGTGTTCAATGGCAGATGCAACACTGTGTTCTTTTATTTGGAGACGTTAAAAATAATAATATAATATATGTCCGCTGTCTAGATATTCGTCATACGATACACAAACGACAGGGTATCATAGTATGTGTTCATAGGCAAGGCTAGGCCTACCAATAGCCTACCAAAAAAGTAAGAGTCCCGTACCAATTTTTACTTTTTACGTTTATTTTCGTTGAATTTCTCACTCGACCAGGGGACACCACTCTAAAATTATCTCTTATTGTCGAGGTAAACAATCAACATAAATTATGGGGTCGCTCCTTTGCCGATGAAATTTTACTCACTTTTCCGGGCTGAAGTCGCTTGACTCACCCAAGTGTGGAGATATTTTGTGAAAAATAATTTTGGGGATGACCTGTTCTCTCGTAGATTTAGGTTGTTCAGCAGAATGTCGCATTACGTGAAAGCAACGAAAAAGACGTTTAGTAAAAATGCACAGGACTGTCTTGTTGTACCGTTGATGAGGCAAAGGGAAACTGGAGAATTGTGCGATGTTGTTCTAATTCTCAATGGCTGTCGATACAATGCGCATAGAGCCATACTTGCTTTATGGAGTCCATACTTTCATTCCATGTTTACTTGTGATATGAGAGAAAGGAATATAGAGGAGGTTGATCTTTCATACTCACTTGTATTAGAGCAGGTAGGACTACTACTACTATACCCTGAACTAGATATTCTAGATCTAGATCTAGAATCTAATCTAGATCTAGATTCTAGATCTAGATCTAAATAGATATCTAGATCTAGATTCTTTTCATTTTAGCCTGATTTGTCATTGATTTCTCACTCTTCATAAAGTTTTAAAAAGGCAAGGGCCACATCCTTTCAGAGATACTAGATCTATAATCTAGATCTAGTGAAATAGAAATTATAATTTTGGGCAATATAAACGGACAACTACAGTGGAGTCCACGTATAACGAGTCCTGAAATAACGAGAAGTCTGTTATAAAAACAGTATTCTAAAACCCCGTTTTTTTCTCTTTGTAAACAAAATACTGCTATAGCGCAATCAGACAAACATGCGAGTCGGTTATAAGCAAAATATTGTTGCTGCTGTGCACAGCGTAGGCCTATACTATATATAGGCCAAATATACATAATGTAAAACCTTGCAAGTTGAGAAACTTGTTGATGAAGTAGCGAAACAAAGAATGGGAGAGCCCACATGTGTGAACAATGAAGGCCGGAGCGAATGAGTGGGGAGGGTGTGGCATGCGCAGACTAGCAGAACGCATCGCATAATAGGCCAGCCTAGTCTAGATTATCTAGAGGCCTACGTGTACCATGCCTCTCACTTCTCCGATATGTGGGGATGGAGAGGTCACAGTGCTGTGATGGATGGAGTGAATGTGTGACGTGTGCAAGCAGACAGAACACACCACAGAGTGTGGTGGGGTGGGGGACAACGCAGCGGGCCTAGCCTAGAGCCCTTTCTTTCTAATCGCAAATGCCGAGCTGTCAACATCGCTAGTGCTAGAGAAAGAAACCTGATTCGATTTTTGATCAAGTATAACCTGGAGGTCATGTTGAACAAAATCATCATTAGGGGAGATAACGAAAAGAAAAAAAACAAAACACCCAGCTCAAAGATTAGACCTACGTTATTATTTCCCTTAAATTTATTACTGGATCCCTTATAACGAGATCTACTATTTTATAACGGGTTATATTTCGTACCAATCCACTCCCTCTCGTTATAAAAGGATTCCACTGCACAATCACTGAATCAGGATTTATCAAACATTTTTTTTACCGTAGGCCTACCATATTGATTCTGAATCAGAGATATGATCAATTAATTAGTTGAATGTATGTGTTTGGGTTTCAAATGTGTCGGCTAGCAATTTGTGCAACACTCACTTGTGAAAATGAGTTTTTGGTGTTATTTGCAGAGATGTGCATGATTTTTTTTCCATCAAACAGCCCTTGGCTCAATTCAATTTTTAAATTCTGTTTAGAACATGTGTGGGTGTGGGGATCCATTTTTATGTTTGTTAGTTGTGCCCCAATGAATTCACTTAAATTATTAGAGTGTATGGAAATGTGTTTTTGCATGATTTCTTTCTTGTGCTTGTATATATGAGGAATATACATGATACTTGTAGCATATAGGCCTAATGCTAGTGGTGGTAAATTTGATATCATCATAATAGCCTTATTAGGTTAAAAAAAAAAGAGTTAATCAGGTTAACTGTGTGTGAGGGCATTATAATAAATATTTGTAGGTGCTGGTATGGTATGGTTGCTCTACATTACACCGCTACGGTAATCTCATGATAAGTCCCATTTGATCAACCATGGTGGCAGTTGTAGCAGCGTATGTACGTCCTGCCTGATTGGCCATGAGAATGACAGCACTGAGGGGTACTTAGACCAACTTTAGAAGTGTTACACAATTATTATGGAGGGGGGGGGGGATACTGCAGTGTTGCGATCCCGGTCCCGGAAGTCGAGTAAAAAAGCTGACTGAGTTGCCAGGGTGAAAAGACCCATTTTAGACTATATTTCGGCACCATTTTAATGTTTTTTAGTAGTGTGCTGAGAATAATTTTGGCTCTAGGAACTGTCACAAACCATTATTTAAAATTTTGCGAAATTAGCACGAGGGAGACCCCCCCTGCACCTCCCCCTTTTTTTAACACGATCCGTTTTTGTTTTAAAAATTGTGTTTTGGCTATTTTAATGTTTGGCATTGTATGCATTGAAAATCTGGCCAGTATCGTCACCCGGAAGCGTGATTTTACTGTATCCAACTGTCAACGAAGGACCGGGACTGCAACACTGCGGTATTACCGAGGAGGGGGGGGGGGGGAGAGAAGGTACAGTCAAACCAGTTTAAAACGGCCACCCATTGTCAAGGAGAAAAGTGGCCTATAACACAGGTGGCCGTCTTAGGCAGGACTGATCAAAATGAAAAAAGCAAAATCATTCGCCTCTGAGGTCCAAACCGGGGCTGATCTCAGGCTTTAGACTGCCGAAAGCTAATTCAAAAGGGCTTTTGTTTTTTTTGAAAAAGGGGGGTGGGTGATGTGAGAAGGGTTTTTTTCTGTGTTGTTTTGTTGGTTTTTGTTTTTGTTTTGTTATTTAATGGGGTTTTTTTTTGGTTAGCTTTCTTTTTGTTGTTGATTTTGTGCAAGGGTAAAAATAAAGGAAATATTATGTAAGTAAGACGATGAAGACAGAGTGCCATGGTAGAATAAATACACAGGGCGCCACCACTCGGAGAATAAGCAACGCTTCTGTCGCAAGTTCATTTCAACGTCCATTGTTACTTTGTTACACAGTCATCTCACACGCGATTTGTGCATGATTTGTGGGCGGGGATTATACTTATAGGTTATGATGGATCACGCTTCCCTCACCAGCAGTTGAAAATGTATTTTTAGGCCTACCCTTTGGTCAACTTGGGTAAACATTCATTGGAGGGGCTAACAATAACAACAGGTGAATGAATTATAATGATCCGTCCACAGCATGGGGGGCCGATTCAAAATTTATGATAAAGCGTCGGTCAATGAGTGACCACGCCTGGCCGTCTGAAGCAGGTAAATTTGACAGTGCGTTGATAAAATAAGGTGGCTGCGGCTGTGTTGGACAAGTGACCATTTTCTACAGTTGAATTATATAGAAAAAACGCAAGGTGGGAAATGGAAAATGCCCGTTTGTACAGGTGGCCATATTATACAGGTGGCCGTCGTGGCAGGTTCGACTATACTTCATTTTGAAGTGTCAATTAGATCAAAGAACTTTGTGGCTGTGGTGGTAGGCCTACCTTACGACTGGCCTGTAGTTGCAACAGCAATGTATATTGTTATATAAGTGCTGCAGATTAGAGGTGTTATTAGAGAATAACTCGCACTGAGAAAAGCGGAGAAGAGATAAGGACGATAGATGTTTGAAAGGAAGATAAGGAGTAAACCATACTAGAGCACCTGCCAACCTCCCACTTTTCAAGAAATCGGGGGGGGGGGAGGGGTGTCACATAGCACATGGATTTATAATAACTTTAACTTTTAACTTAAATTGCTTCACATAGTTATACCTTTTCAGTGGGATAATTAGATACTTTTTTCTCTCAAAGTTAATACAGATTTCTTTCTGTTTTTCTGTTTCAGGACTCTGTTTTCAGCACTGTGCTTGACTACATGTACACAGGATCTTTGCCCCTGAGCACAGACACAATCACAGATGTTGTCAAGATCTCAGATTTTTTGCTGCTGGATGATGTCAGGGACTTTTGTCAACAATTTCTTCTTGATCTTGGCAACCTTGAATTGTCCAACTGCCTTCGAGTCAAATTTTTAGCTGAGGATCACAACTTGCCAGAGGTTGCAACGGCAGCAAGAAGCATCATTGAAGCTCGTTTCCATGACTACCTCATTCAGCATGATGACATTTTGGAACTTCCGTGGGAATGGTTGTCAAAACTCTTGGAAGATCCTTGTGTGGTACAGCACACTGGATACAAACAGTTGCATAAAATGGCTTCAAGATGGACTGACCATGACAAAGTGGCTAGAATCCCATTCCATTCACAGTTAACTGCTGCTATAAATTCTTGGGTTTCAGACTATGCCAACGAAGCCTCATACCTGGGAAGGGAGCTTCGTACCTCCCTGGAAGGGCGTGATGTTTTATCTCCCAGAGGTAGTGACCTTTTAAATTCACCTGTAGACAACTTTGGCAATATTAATCTTGACAACAGTTTTCATGCATTATCAGAAGCCCCAGTGAACTCAGACAGTCTGGTTAATGTGAAAGCCGACTCTGAAAACTTGAAAGCTTCAAAACCTGACACTCCCACTAGTCATCCAAACCAAGAATCCTCACACTGCAATCAAGTTCTCTTCACAGTTGTGTGTAATCAGGGTCTCAAATTCTTGAAACTGTTCCTTTATAGTTTGGACGACCAATTGTGGTTTCATTTCCCTGTTTCTGGTGAACGATTGCTAAAGTATGTCCCGATGCGTCAGACTGTTTGCAACATGCTGGCCCATGAAGGGAAACTGTACATGTATCTCTGTTCGTCTTTTCCGTACCCAACAGACATGCTCAAGATCAACATTCTCACCATCGATCTTCTCACCGGTCAGCCATCTTTGTTTTCATTCAGAACTGTGGATTACTATAAACCAACATACAGGACTACTCTGACAAACTTCCGGACTGCCCCGCCTGCTATGGTAATGTGTAGTGGCCAGTTATTTGTCGTTGGCAACAAAGAGGGGACGGGACATTTGTTTGCATGCAATTTGGCAAACAATCAGTATGCTTGCTATCAAATACCTGGTTCAAGGTTTATCAGTCTTGCAAGATGTGTGGTCAGAAATGATCGTCAGATATTTGTTTGGTATCGACACAGAACAGGTCCTTCTGAAGAGTTCTCCATAAAAAAGTCTGTTGGATTTGTTTTGTTTGATGCAAAAATGAAAATTTTCAGCTCGTGGGAACTGACACCTCCAGAGATTTCATATGATGACTTTGCAAAGTGCTACGCCATGTGTGTCCGCGATGATACCGTGCACATTTATCAACCAGGGGAGCCGGCCATTGTGCTTGATGAAGTCAGAGTAAAGTGGGTTACATCTTTACGAAGAATTCCAACGCCTGGTGTGGGATATGTGCGTGACGTACAAGCATACGGTTACCAAATTGCTGTTCCAGCCCAGGAAGGGATCCTGGTATTGAACAACTGGCAGCCGTACACAACTTCCCTTCACGAAGTCTCAGAGAAATTCCCTTGTGCCATGGCTCATATCCCTCCACCTATTGACAACATTTCCGTTGCATCAGTGGCCGAGCTACCTCGTTTTTTGTTACGCAACCTCCACAGATGCACCATGTATGACGAGGCGTATGCAAGCGCGCTCCACGTGGCAATGCAGTATTCTGACGGTGACACAGATGACAGTGCGGGTTCTGTGTTGGAAGATGCTGATACTGACAATGATTATGAGTACGATGAAGATATCTATGACTATGATTATGACATGGGAGGGTATGAGTTATAAATCCTCTGCCATGTTTATCTACGGTTTTTGAAAACAAAAGACTCCTAATATTTTAAATGTTATGAAAAAAAACTTCATCACCCGAAGAAGGATTATATATTTGTCTAGATTATTATCAGCATGATGGATATTGTTTCTGATAATCCACAGGATGAGCCAAAATGTGTCCTGACTTTGGGGTAATTGATATTATTTTATATTTCATAATTATGACTGTTTTCATCTTGATGATAAGCAAAGTAACTGAACCTGTCACAGAAGATCAATTCTCTTTTTCCCGTAAGCATTTGATACGACTGAAAAAGCAAGGTGGAAATTTTTCACCAGGTCCTGCCTTGAAACTTTTTACTTGAGCAGTGGACAAAAGTGACAGAAGTCTTATGAGCTTCACAATGATGGCAAGGGTGTAAAATATATTTTGTAGCTAAAAACGCTTTTAAGGTTCTTAATCTGCCTTCATGTGGAAACTTTCTTTGTCAGTTTAAAAAAATAGTTGGTACAGTAATAAAAACTGCACTCTCCATTCTTTGTTTTCTCAAAGGTGAAGAAAAAGGGCAACTCATTTAACTAATTATAGTGATAAAAAAATGAGCATTTAATCCCTTTATACTTTATGCTTTTTTATATATGTATATAGATGTTATGATTAGTATATTTATTTATATTTATTCTTCCAGCAGCCCTGGTTTTTGTACTGTTTGGTTCCATTGTCCACATTGTAAAGGGTCACATTTTAAAAATATAAATGTTCTCTCTTCAAGGTTGGAGGAAAAAGAACATCAAACGCACAATTTGAAGTGGAAACTGCGTCAATTGTTGAAGCTCACTCAACTTTGCAAAGTTCATAGTGCAGAACTGTATACAACATGGATTAATTGCTTGTTCTGAAGGAGCAAATATACTACATGTTATGCTTCATTTGCAATGCTTTGCTCCTCCTGTGAACAAATATGCCGTAATAATGCTCATGCTGTTTGTGATGTTAAGAAAGACTTTCCCACAGTGTAAATGAACTCAAGCTTTTTTGAGTTTGAATATTTCCCCATTGCTGTACCTTTTATGTCAATTCATTTACATGTATAACATTTACATGCTAATAGTATGACATATTTCTAGTCTGTTTTGATATTGATGTGTGCTTTGGTATATTACAAGGGCTGCTTGTATAGTATGTGCTTTATTTTTATATTTTCTGCATTTCCTGCCTTCATACGTTGTCACTAGTCACCACTGGCATTTGTGTCATGTTACCCTTTATGCTTTCTCTTTCAACATCGATTTGCCTGATGGTTAACTACTTTGACCATTTTTGCCAAGTGGTAACATCAGATTGAAGAGGACAGATCAATAATGCTTGCTCCGTCCACTTTGAGATGAAGTAAATCAAAGTGATTTCTCCTACAATGTCCATTAGTTCTTTGTTGCACCACTTTCTGGTAGGTCTTCTCAACTCAAAACTTGATGATTATAAAGAATGTACAGTCAAACCTGTCCCAGACGACTGCACATTATCGAGAAGAAGAGTGGTAATCTTAGACAGGTGGTCCTATTGGCCAGTGTCAATATATACATTCAGAAAAATGAAGAAGGGAAGTGATCTTTTGTACAGGTGATTGTCTTGGACAGGTGGTCGTTTGGGCAGGTTTGACTGTATTGTGAAACCCTTCCCCCTTTCAACATTTTTCTGTGCATGAGTTAATTGTTACATTTGTGTCTGTAGAGTGAGGAAGGACCAGACAAAAGGAAAGTTGGGCTGACAAGAAAATACTTGTACCGTACAATATAGATTGTAATGGAGAAAGAGAAGTGGAATACAAAGAATTAAAAAGAGAAAGTCAAAGGGGAAAATTAAACTCTACACTCTTTATCTCTCAGGAGGGATTAGAATACATCCATACTTCTTCAATACCAGGTGACTGAATATTATCATTATTGTGAAAACTGATTAAATTTTAACTCCTTTTGCTAGCAGAATGCGAGTCAGTGGTCTAGTGATTTGGCTGTTGGGCTTGCAACAGAAAAGGTTGTGGGTTAGAACTCAGTCAGGGTCCCGATGTTATTTCCTCGGGAAAGACACTTTACACAAATATTTCTCACTTCACCCAGGTGGGAATGGGTACCTGGCTGTAGACAGTGAAAGATCTTGTCAGTTTGCTAGTATTTTAGTGCTTAAAATCAGCTGCTTGCGTTGTATGCTTCCCAAGAAGCCGAGAATGTTTCTAAGTGCTTCTAGGGTCTGCTGGAGTAATGATATGGCTTATAGAGCGCATGGAGCTTGCAGTTGAGCGGGGATATATGCTGCTATACAATGATATTTATTATTATTATCAAAGAATTCTGTTGCGTTTTCTTCTTCTTCTTCTGTTTTTGTGTCCTGAAGCCACGGTCAGAGATATCTGTTGGTTCTTCAGTCCTCAGTGCCACTAATGTTGTGCGCATGGTTGTTTTTTTTCTTTCAGTCTGGTGCCTTTGATGTGCTGAATATACTTACAGGATTTTTTTGTCTTCGTCTGTGACAAGTAAATGAGTGAAAATTTCTACTTGTTCAAGATAAGGAGTGAGATAATACTGAATTTTTTTCGGGACTCACCCACTGATCTTACTTGCTCAAACACAGGACCAAACCATAGGCCTACAATTTGACACTGGGAAGAGGTGAGCACTAAGTCTTTAGACTTAAAAGTCCACTGTCCATGGATATGATAATGCATAGCTAATTGTAAATCACTTTTGCAAACACAGCAATGTGGGGGGGCAGGGGTTGCACCAAAAATTTGGAATTCTTGAACCAGTTTTGATTTCAAATATTTGAATTATACATAGGGCTCAAAAATATGCTTTTGAAATTAGGTATAGGCCTACATTTTAACATTATATTTCTTAAGATCTTCTTTTCTTTCGTGTAGAAAATTGTCATGAAGAGAACGAAATGCTGTCTTGGTGTGTCACATCTGTACCTTCATCGTCTTTTATGTCCAGAGTGACTTTGTAGCACAAGAAAAAGGGCAGTCTTTCAACATTTGACTTTCCACTACTCCTAACAACAACAGCAATGATTTTGTCTGATCCTTCCTTGTTATTTCCATCTTTATGAAGGCAGTAGCTTGCTATAATTGGGTGCTATTTTTAATTATGCGACTTATCCTGTATATTCATAAAAGATTCATTTTGAATAATTATGCTCTATTGAAGGTTTTAAGTTAGGCCACAGAGAACATTTAGGAAATGTGTGGAAAGGGACATTAGAGAGATGAAGCTCACTTGGGATGAGCTTGGAAGGATGGCCCAGGACAGAGATAAATGGAAGGAGCTTATAGGTGGCCTATACCCTGCCTGGGGTGAAAGGCATTGAAGATGATAAGGGTTTTAAGTACATGTAGTTAGGAAGACTACAAATGAAAATATATGCTTCAACTTCAATCATGCAGAATTACATGTGCACATAATATAAGTTTTCTGTGCCTGCAATGTGAACTGGGAATAGTAGCTGCTCCGCTGTCTTAAGTGTGTGAAATGAAACGTGGCATTAAATTTGTTGTAGATAAATAATTTAGGTGCTGAGAATTGATACATTGTTCATGTAGTCTTTATATATCATATGCAGTCGTTAATTCATGCATTGTAGTGGAAATGAATAAAGGGTTTTGCAATGAATGGCCATGCAGGATACTCAAGTTTGGTCTAAGGTTCTAAAAGATTAGTGTGGTGTTATCTGATTAGGCCGTTTGATGTGTCAATGAAAGAATTGGTCTATTGTTTTACGAATCAATTGTTGACAAACAATTTCAGAGACATTTTTTTGTTCTGTATGTGTTCTTCTTGTTCAGTAAACTGTGCTTTAAAAGAAACCAGTTTGTTCGTGTAAAAGAATTAAAATCAAATGTTTGCAGCTAGGCACTGAAAGCTAAACTTATAGTTAGAAAATATTGTCTCAAGTATTCTAAGATGGGGAAAGTTCAAGTTGAAAACAAGAAACACTGTGTCTGAACTCAGAGATGTAGTTGAGACACAATTGTGAAAACTGTGTGAACTCAAGCGGACCAGTTGAAGCACATGTTTTGTTTTCCATTTTATACTCATACATGCATACGTGTCTTGGTTTCTATTTTTACAAATGTACTTATGTCCCACCTGTACCAATGCTTGCAATTGTCAACAGATGGCAACTCTATTCTGGTGAACTTTAGCAAATGTGAAGAATTACCTTGGTGACTATAGGCAAATCTTGTCCGCCCGTCGATATACTCAACCATCTAAGCTTTATCTATGATGTTACTCAAATAAGGTTGTGGAAGACACACACACATGTATTCTTTTTCCGTGACGAAAGCAATGCCATTTATTCTTGCTTTTAAGGTCACCTGAATACCGTCCTATCTTTTTTTTAAAGAGATGGATTGTTGCTTTTGCACTCTGCCTCCTTAATTCTTTCTTTAAGTCAAAATATTTGTTTGTGGCTTTCTTCACGACTGAATGGTTTTTTTTTGCAAGTGTGTAATTATGGCGGGTTGAAAGTTAATAATGCTGTTGTCCTCCCAACCCTGTTGTCTGTGCTGAGACCTGGACAGTGAACCAAAGCCATGCCAAGGAGCTCAATCACTTCCTCGTAAATGTCCTCAGGGGAATTTTTGGCATCAAATGGCTTGACAAAATACTGGTCACTGAAGTTCTCAAAAAGGCAAATGCCAAGATTTTGTTTTCTGAGCTCAAAAGGACTTAACTTTGCTGGGCTGGCCATGTCTAAAAATGTCAGATTTCAGAATCTCCAAAGGCAGCATTCTATTCTGAGCTGCCCCCATTGAAGCTGACACACCAAAAAAAGCACTTAAAAGGTTCCCTGAAAATGTCTTTGAAGGACTTCAACATTAATCCCTAGACATAGAGAGTCTGGCTCATCTTATGGTTCGCTGCCCTCTGTGATTGCTGCTCTCCAACTGGGTCTGTCAGGAACCAGACTCTCCTATTCCTATGTTTAGGCTTGCATTCTTCTCTCTTGGCTTCAGCTTTTCTCTAGTTCATGATGCCAAGAGAGAAGAATTCATGCTGCAGACATCCACAAGTAGAAATGAAGCTTTTGAGTGCGCTATTGGTCACTGACAGACATTAATTAACAAACTACTGTCTGTTATCATAATTACCGCAGTGGATTAGACAAATATACTCATGCAAATCAAAGAACGTCTGTACCTATATGATAATCTCTAGCATGGTTTCTATCGTTTGTACATTTTCTTTGAAAGGGTGAAAACAGATCTAGCTTATAATAGGTCTGTATGAATAATCACTCAGGTCTGCTCCGTCGTTATTTTAAAAAAAAAGTTTATTTTAAGCAGACTACATTGCATATCATGTACGCTATGTGTAGAAAGCTAAATTGTGTTTTGTAGTTTTCATGTATGAAGCTTTTATCCTAAGTCAGTGCATATTATTATTATAATGGAATACCATAGATAAAGCTTTCATTGTTTCATCAATTTTTGTACCTTTCAAGTCAGCTGGTGTGGAACATTTGTTTGATCTTGGCCAACATTCACACACAGGTTCAGTTTTTTAGCCCGAGCCATGTTTGATTTTTCCTTGTCCTTCCTGGGTTGTCTTTCCTCTCAGCGTAGTGACCAGATGGGGTTGAGTTGTGACTTAAAAATGACGTACTTTGTGCTTAGTAGGGTTCTTAACTTTAGTGTTTCAGTTTGTTTCTTTCAAAACAATTTTCATGCTGTGGGTCACAATGAAGGTCAAGATACTGAGAATGTAAACTCTAAAATTTCCAAAAAGTTGAAGCTTCTGTTTTGACTTCTACTTATTTCTTGCTCAGAAAATGTTGTACTATTCAAAATTTGACCAATGAACAGCATCTTTTTTGCTTCTAAGTTTCAGTAGCTTAAGTCTAGATCTGACAACACCTGTAGCAGTCAGGAGTAAACTAAGACTTTCTAATGCCTCAAGACTTTCTAATGCCTCAAGACTTTCTAATGCCTCAAAATACAAACTGGAATATGTGAGTTAGAACGTATTGTAATTAAACTTTGTTGTAAATCTTCTGATGTCAGGAAAAGTGAGCAGCGGTTCAGGTGTGTCATCATTGTCAGGACATTAACTGTTTCTCTCATCTCATTTTATAGTAAGTCTTCCAATTTGTCTGTTTGCTGTTTCTGTCTTTTCTAGACTTTTATATACCGTAAGTAAAAAACTGTTTGAAGACCAATGCTATAAAACTTGGCACTAAAGCTTTATATTGAAGTGCACTGTTAGAAGAAAGCAAAATCTATATTTTTGTTCACTTTTACTTTACTCTTTTCATCCTTTAATGGTTTTTGATGGAGGAAACTTATTTGTAACTTGTAAAACAGCCTACCCAATTGTCATTGCATGAAGAAAAGATGCTTGAAGATTATTTCCTCTACCATTATTTACTATCATTTAGCATTTTCATTTACATAATGAACCTTATATCATCAGCATCATTATATCATCAGGATCATTCCATAAGCAAGTCAGTTTCTTGAAGCTTTGAGAAAATTAAAGAAAAAGAGAGCACCTGAATCAGAACCATAACTTTAGGTACCCGTTATTTTTCCATTAAGACTTGGAAGGAAATGATGAAAGAGAACGAAACTATAAATATGGTTTAATGACCCATTATGTCTTTATTTGAATAACAGCTCTATCTGGAAACTCTCAGAAATTGATTTGAATGATTGTGCAATGTTGCTGACAATATATCGTTTTCTTTTACAGTGTATAGGCTACTACTTTTGAAATAAAGAGAGAGATTAAGAAAATTCTATCTGTAGAATATGTTACTTATACTCACTCCAATGTGTGTAGACCAGTTTCTTTTGTGAATGACAAAACAATATGTTTTATGTCAGGGAAATGGTTGAGTTTGAAAGAGTAGGTATATATTAATGAAAAGCAGTTAGTAGACGTGGGAAGAACTCTGTGGAAATTAGTTTTTGTTGTAGAAAATTTATGTCTTTTTATCTTTGTTTTGAAACCTTGTAAGCACACACACTGTTTTCAGTTTCTCCGAAAAATAAATAGGGTTGTATAGAGTAGTATTCTAAATCTAAACAATCACCAATTGTTTGGAATTGATGTCCAGTTGTGAGAGCAGGATTTGGAATACAAAGCGAGTCCAGCACCCAAAACCTTTTTATGCACTTTTGTTGAAATTCTTTCTTTTCTTTAACACTTTAACAATGGATGCAACAAAAGAAATACCTCACTTGATAAAATGGCATTCAATGTGAATTTGTAGAGTTTATGTAAATTAAAGCAATATTTTAAGAGTCATGAACGAGTAGGCTTGAGTTTGAGACATTAGGTTCATTTATTTTCTTGAGTTTTCTTGCTGATTTGGAGTGCCTGTTTGAAGGTGTTGTCTTTTACTTTAGAAAATGTAGCGTAGTTATGAATGATCACAGCATTCAATCTTTGAGGGTAAGAGTTTTTTCTATTTGAACTGTATTAGATAGCATTATATCTTAATCACATTTTAATTTTTTTTTACAGAATTCCTCTTTAAAAACACAGGACGTGCCAAGGTATCTATATGCATGTATGTGGTTAAAAATTTAAGTCTTGGTATTTTAACAGTTTTATGATAAGAGTAGGGGCCACAGGAAGTACAAACTTTTGACAAATTGATGCTAGTGTGGAACACTTTGACACTTTGGGTGTTGTTTGACATTTGAGTTTCATTTCCTCAACACAACTAAATCAGAATCTCATAACATGTATGGGGTTGGTTATAGTCATGGAAGTTTTTTTGGAATTGGCAGAAATAGTGATGTAGAGTAGCAATAGTGATGCATGGTAGCATTTTTGGTTGTTTCAGTGTTTCTTCCATTTCTTCTACTATCTAGTCATTTAGTGTTGGCTGACACTATATATGTCAAACAACCATCATCATAGTGAAGTTTTGTTGTCCTTGCAGCAGACTGCGGAATACAGCAGACTTGTTGTCATTTGTTAACTTGTGGGCAGCACTACGTAGTTTACGAACAGACAAAATACTTAGCACTCTGGTGCAGGTACTTTCTTTTAGAGTTTTTAACGTGTGACTGTATGGCATATTTAGGGGGGAGAAAGAGAGAGGCAGAGAGAGACAGAGAGAGAGAGAGAGAGAGAGAGAGAGAGAGAGAGAGAGAGAGAGAGAGAGAGAGAGAGAGAGAGAGAGAGAGAGAGAGAGAGAGGAGGGGGGTGGTTGGGGGTGGGGGATGGGAGAGTGAGACAGAGAGTTGATATTGAATAGTTGTTGAAAGGACAGAAAGATATAGACAAATATCATGTAGTCATGCAAGTTCAGATGTTTCACCTGAAACTGAAAATGCTCTTGGGTGTATCGGATGAAAAGTGTTTTTGTTTTTTTATGGGTCGTGTGCAATAAAGTTGTTATATTACGTCAATGATAGTACATAACAAGATGGGTCACTTCTCTCTTTGAGCCAATTAAAAAAGTGTCCTCCAAATTTGGTGGCGCCCTCTTCACAAAAGCGCACTCTTTGCGAACAGAGTTACCCTACTTGAGTTTTACAAAATCAAAGTGAAACTAGCAAGTTTTTTGGATAAATTTCGGAAGAACGCTTTTTAAAAATGGTTACGCTGACAAAAAACCTCTTCCGGAGGAAAGGGTGATGGTTTTCTTTGTTTAATTTGACTTTAGAATGAAAGGCGAGAGGTCATTAAAATATAAAAAAACTAAAACTCCGCACTGAACGTACCCGAACTGCTGATGAACAGCAGTCGATCTGCGCACGCAAGGAGGTGCTATTCCTATTCTTCTTCTGGAAAAATGAAAGAGAGCTTCAAAACAGACTGCAGCGCCATCTGAAGCAAAGAGCATACTTCCTGCGGACACTTTTTTGGCTGAGTGGCCCATCTTGTTATGTATTATCATTGATTACGTTTCAGTTTATGTTACTTTCTTGGACAAATTCTCACTGCCACTAAAAAAGTGCAAAATACACATTAGTCAGTGTGAAATATGTGAATGTTGTTGTCAATATATTCTCCTGGAATATGTTATTCATGATATAGTTATCCAACTTTGTGAAGTTAAAAGACCAGTGTAAATTACATTCTATGTAATGAATGACTGTTGTGAAATGGACTTCATAAAAAAATTGAAACATATTGTGAAAATGGAATGCCGTTGCTGTGCAATATTTGCTAACATTTTTAATGTTTTTAACATTTTTATTTATTGTTATTTCTGAAAATTTATTTACCCAAACATTATTTGGATCTTTACTTGTTTAAATCAAATATTTATGCCACTCAAAGCATCATTTGTTCTGCTGTGTATACTTTTACAAACATTCATTGAAGCATAAGTGTTGATTCAATTAGTTTTTTTGTACCACTATCCTCTAGCAAATAAAACTTTAGTAAATGTTACAATAATTGAAAAGCAAATGTCTGACTGAAGTGTGTGGAAATATGATTACACAAAAAAACTATTATTACCATGGACAGGCTCAAACCTTCAGGCAAGGCAGGGCATTGAAATCCGTCTCCTATGTGATCTAAATTGAGTCGAATGGGGTGTAACAACACCTGCATCAAATGAATTATGAAGCACAAGGTCAAATGATCACTGTTCATTACAGTGTTCGGGAAAGGCACGATGACAGACCGATAAAGTAGGGAGGCATGAAAGAATTTGGAACATCAATTACACCCTTCAACAACAATCATCATAACTTTTTTACACACACTGAACAAACAAGTCACAATGATTTTTCAGTCTTTTATTTTTTATCACATTCTTCACATTCAGTTTAAGTTGCAGAGCAAAAATTGAAAGTTATAACTCAAGGTCATGTCATGTCAATCTCTTGCTGGAGGAGGACAAGTTCACTTCTGGTTGTAACAGGCTTTGGAGTGCAGAACCTTCCCTTAGAAGAGGATGGAAGTCAATCACCTACCAAGACAAAGAAAACATTTTTAGACTGAATCAAAGAGAAACTCATCAATTGAAATGAAAAAAATATGTCATTCTAAATATAGTGGAGTCCGCTTATACCGAAAACTAGGTAATCTGAAAACAGCGGTAAACTGAAAAGAAATAAAATCCCAGGTTTTTTTTCTTCGCTACCTGAGCAATCTCTTTTAACCGAAAACACAGCTTTACAAAGAAAACCTGGCAGTCCCGCATGTTTTGGTTTAAACGGACTCTTCTCTAGTTCTTTGTCGCTCAAACCTGTAAAAAGAACAAAATATAGTCTAGCTTGCACATTGCAAAACATGCACATAGCGAACAGATATTCAGGTTCCAAATTCTTCCTATACATGACGTGTACTCTTCGTGTTGATAACATGTGTACAGCAAAATTGACACATAACAAAAAGATATCAGCATCCCACCAATTTGGCTATGTGCGTGCTTGACTGTAGATTGTTGGGTTATACCATCTGAATTTGTATCCTTCTCTATTTCTTGCACTCTTCTGGTTATTCAAAAAATGGGATCACGACAGAGGGAGTAAAAGTTTCAGAGTAATGTAAAGAGTCAGGGAAGCTACAACAAATTTTTGTTGCTCAAAGATAGCATTACAAACTTACTAAAATTAAATTAAATTCAATACCTGAAGGAGAGGAGGATTTCATATTATATACCTGTTCCAGGGGAGAAATCAGATTCTGCATCGACAACTTTAGGTCAGCTTTTGTTTCCTCATGATTTTGAAGAGCTCGTTGCAGCAATGAAAGACACTTAACTCCCAGCAGAGAAGACATGACTGCTGCATCACAGCTCACATTCATCACGGGTTCACCTTGGTGCAGAAAAAAGAAAAATGAAGAAAATGCAGTTCATAAATATGTCCAAATTTTAATCCCATAGTTCAATGTTAAAAATATCAAATCAGTGTAAAGCTTTGTCTTTTTATATTTGGATTTTTTAAGAAAGTAATATAAAGCAGTGTATTCTGGTGACTGAGCGATTAATTACAGGATGCTTTGTTGTCAATATAAGAGCCTGTTTCACATTGAGGGGGTGGTTGGCGGGCACTCTGGTACGGTTTGCTCCTTCTTTCCTATGAAAAATCTATGTCAATAACTCTCCTCCTTTTCATTGTATGTCTTACTCTTTAGTAACATGTACCACTAAACTTCGGAAGTTATATGACCTAAGCGTGCTGCAAGTGCCATAAAACTCTTACGAAAATTAAACCAAAGACATTTTGTACTTTGATTTATGTAAAGCGTCTAGAGCTGTGTACACTATAAAAATGATCTACATTATTATTTTTATTAATAAACTAAACTAAAAGTTTCACACTGTACTTTGAACTTTTTGGTTGAACCTACCTGTCAAGCTTTCACACAACCTGGGCATCTGCTCCTCCAATTCCTTGCAGGCTTCGCGGCAGGCAGTCAAGACAAGAAGGACAACTGCTGGGGACTTGCTTCTGGTGATGATGCTCTAGAACACACAAAAAAATAAAAAAACGTCTTTGGTAGGAAATATTGAATATTGAAAAAAAAAAAGAACACTAAATACTAAACTACGCTAAATAATAATCAACACAGTTCAGTAGAATTTTGAAAATGCAAACATTGAGCACTGTATTATACTTCATACTAAGGAACACAGTTTAATAGAATTATTTTTTAAAGCAAAAAAAGGAGCACTACATTATACTTCATAATAATGAATACAGTTCAATACAAATTTTTAATGCAAAAATGGAGCACAATATTGTACCACACAATAAGTTTTTAAAATGCTAAAATTGAAGAGCTACATTATATTAGATAATAGTCAACAGTTACAAGCATAACCATGTTTCATAATTTTCTGGAATTCAGGGTTTTTAGCCAGATTTTCTGTTTTGAATGGTTGGTCAAACTGAAGAAAAATATTGAGAATTTTCTTTTCTTTTTTTGGTTTATTGCTGTTTTTTAAATCAATCATAGTTCGTTTTAGCCGGCTCTGGTCTCTAAGGGCCCTCAAGAGTACCTGCAATGTGGTAAAAGCCCAAAGCTGCGTCATGTGATTTTCAGAAAAGGAACTTGCAGTCTCTGGTTCGAACAACGCTTGAGATCTGAGGAATTGTAAAGACTTTGAATTAGGAAAATTCTAAGCATGATATTAAAAAAAGAAGTTACATAAGCCCTTTCGCTATTTGCATTTTTAACTTATACAAAGACTCCAGGGTCCAAACTTTCCGTCTAGTGTTATGTATATGTGTAAAATCAAATGTAGATTTTTAACTCCAAACAAGTCAAGCAGAGAGAAGTTTAGTATAACTTGTTGGTCTCTTATTATGTTAGTACTGTGAATTTCATGCTGATTGCAAAGGTATCTGATGAAAATCTTTTTGAATTTAATGACTTCAAATTTCTTTCACCATGAGATGTCTGTCTCAGCAAATTGTAATAGTCAACTCATGGTAAAACCTTGCGTTGTGGTCGTGGAGCCATGATATATAAAGCAGATCTTAACAACGCCTTTAAATGAAACATCAATAAAAACTGTTGGGCATCACCACACTGACCATAATAGATAGTGGTCAAAGTCAGCATCACATCGTCATAAGCCAACCAGACTGGAGGGGCCCACGGGCAGACACAATCATTTTCTTCTCTAGAATTTTGCACTGTTTTTAAGCAATACAAGCATGCAGCAGTTATGGATTTAACTCTCTTTTTTTTTTTTAGTAGAGGGTTTTACGGCAATCGCAACTGCATAAGGTCATATGAGCGCCAAGGGTGGATGTCAACAAAGAAGTCTTTACAGGGAATCAGACTTGCTCTGCTCACTTCTCTCTAGCTTCAGCAGCTCAAAGTCTGCTTCGACTATCAAGGCACCCCGGAAATAGCAGGTCACAAGAGAGTGACAAACATACAAAAGAAGTAGAGGAAAATGACAATAGTAAGGATTAGGAAAGAAAAAGTAGCAGTTCTCTGTTGTAGATCAGGCACAGTTATGAGTGCGACATGATGAACCAGCCCATTTACAATTCTACTGTGCATGTCCCCCCTTTGGGAATGGCCTAAAGATACTTCAGTCAGTGGCGCTGCCCCGGGGGGGGGGGGGGGGGCTTTAACTATCTAAGAATGAAGTGGACACATATATATCTGATCAGCGACAGACTAATGGCAATGTTGCGGCACATTTTGAACTAAATAACAGAAACTAATTTTTTTTTTAATTGCATATTTTATAATATATTCACGATGTTTCCTACCTTTTTAAGTTTAAAATAAGGAAAACAGCATCGAAAAATCTGTCAGAATAACAGTTATGTTTATTTTTTAAAGTGCCCTACAATAAAACGTTTTCAAACATTGGCAAATGATCAGAAAGTGCGTCATCCTCAATCAGCTAAAAAGAGAACACTATTCAATGATAACAAGATAACCTTGGGTTCTTGGCAGCCTCAACAGAATGTGTCAGATTCTGAGCTCGGTAAAGAATGTCCACCAGGCAGGTCATGGCTGCACTGCACCATGCTAGGTCATCCTCAATCACATGGCTGAAAATCTGAGGGAAAAAAGTTCAGTTCATTCAATTATTTCACAAACATCAGGCCTAAAACAATTCTGAACACATTATCGGGTGTGTTAGCCCAATGGGGTAATATATCAGGACTCACTGGAAAGGGTATGAAAAGAAAGGGTAAAATGTGGAGATATAACCCATCTCATAAAAAACAAAATAAAGCTTCTCTGATTTTCAGAATTTATTGATATATATGTGAGGCATCGTGGTGAAACCAGGCGCTTATCAAAATAATGAAACTGAAGAGACCGCCATTTTTCTGCCCTTTTGGCAATTTTTATTGAATTTTTGTTTCTGGGCTCAACACCAATTTTATTCAATTAAGAATACATTTCAGTGTGGATTTTACAGAAAAACGTTTCTTAAAGGCACCAAAACGTACGTTTTCAGTTTCCTCGGACTATCAAGCTGAGGAAATAACCCAACTTTGGCCGCCATTTTCTCGCTAATTCTACCACAGAAACCAGGCGACCCCACTTCCTTCAATCTCAAATATCTCGTCGTCTATTCAAGATAGATCGGTATTTTTTTCACTGATAGCAAGACAACTGAACAAGCTTTAAGGTGATACCAATAACTCCACATGCCCAAAAATTGATGGGCACCTGATTCCGCTGTGTTGTGACACATATCATTCCTCAGAGCCTCTAATCTGCGGCACTAATGTGATCTACGAGTATTGGAAGAGCCGTAAAATCTCACTAAATCTAAAACTAAACGAACCCAACTAGAACAGCACTAGCACGTCAAAGTAACTCATCCCACCTGGTAACACAGGTTGGCTTGAAACACTTGCTGGCTGTCCTGGAAGCCGCTGAAGAAAGCCGCAGTCTCCCACCTGACCTCGGGCTCGGAATCCTCCAGCAGTCGTAAACAGGAGAGGAGGAAACTGAAATGGGAGAACGTTGAACCATAAGTCAATGTGTTGTGCATGTTCAGAAACATTTCACTAAAGTTACATCTGGGAAACACCTGAGGGACCAACCATCCTTTAGTCATCTTGTCATTGGCCGGCAGATTGGTCAGGACCATGGCTGTCAACTATGCTTTCATATAAACTTATTGAACTCATTTAATTTACTTTCATTCATTGCTTTACTGGTGCATTTGACAATTTCACCACACTCACCATCTAACAATGGTCTTGCTATAAGCTGAAGCCTGATGCCCATGACACACAGTCAAGATTCTTTGTCCACAAAGCCGCAAGGACTGAGCAGCTGTGACTCGGAGGTTCTCATTTGACGAAGGATTCGTAAGTTCCAACAGTTGTTCCGACCACACACACACAGATGGAAGCCTGTGAGATAGGAAAAGATAAATCAGTCACGTTGGAGGCAAGAGTTCGAAAGTGGTATTTCACCCTGGGAATCTTAACTCTACAAGGCTCTATCAAAAACCTTAGCAGAAATCAAACACTGAATGCAACTGATTCTGGCGATTAAATTGCAATGTTATCCTGCTTTTCTTATTTTTTTATCATAAATTTATGTGAGTCAATTAACATTTCAACACCAGACAGCATCATATCTCAGAAACTGTTTGACAACTTGCTCTGGCATTTGATGACTAAATGCACAGAGATAAGGTGTGTATGCATGGACAAAGACCCATGTAAATTGGTTAACATAAATTTCATGGACACCATGACCTTCATAAGATCCCTACCTTTTGGCAGTGGTTCATATGTGTATTCCTTGCTTTACTTTTGTGCATGTTTATCTTGCGGAAAGTAAACTATTTTTCAGTTGGAAAATTCCAAAAATAAATCAAAGAAATAGAAAACGGAGATGAAGTTTCAGTCGATTCCAACAAAATCTTCTTGTTTTACTCAAACTCATTAAATCTGAGGGATCCGCTGTGCTCACCGTTCAACAAGCTCAGATTCAGAGAGGGCAGACCAAATCATACTCTCTACAGCAAAAATCACAGACTGCACGCCACTCCGCTGCTTCCAGCGACGTTTTAGAGTCTCTGTATCCACATCACTCATCTCTGAGCCCTGTACAGCCAGGTTCCCTCGGATAGCCTCCCGCAACAAGATCTCCCCAATCTGCTGAAAGCTGGCAGTTCTGTTTTCCCTGAGGAGTGTCTGCCACAATGCCCTCTGGGAGAAAAATAGATCAGGTATCAGAATGAGAATTTCAATAGAACTCTCTAAAGAAAACTTCTGGAAGTTGGATCAGGAGACTTTTATTGATTTCTGAAGAGAAACGTTGAAAGTTGGAACATGAGAATCTCTGTTGATCTCTAAAGGGAACTTCTGGAAGTTGGAGCATTTACTGAAAAAATGCTAAAACCCTGTTTCAGACCTTATGTCTTTAAATCATGTAAAATACGTGGAGAAAGAAGACAGACTAACAGAAACTGAGAGACTCATAGAAACCGACAAGCAGTCATAAAACAATCCAATTAAAACAATCAAAGATAGCAACAAAAATTTCTCAATAAACAAAATTACAGAAAGGAATGGATGAACATGTACGTGAGAAGGCTGACTGGCTGATCAGTCTGTGATCGCATCAAAAGACAAACCTAAGGAACATTTTTAAAATCTATGAATACACAAAAAAGCTGACTACTATTATTGCCTCTGAAAAGAGCAAAGAGAACTTAACGGTTACGGGAATAGGGTCAACTGAGAAAATCTATAACTACACCAGCTTTTTGATCAGTCCAGGACTTGCCCCTCCAATGCATAACTCTCAGAACAATTTCTTCCATTCCAACCTAAACAGCACCCTGTACTGCAACAGTGAACAACATAGAAAGACTTCCACTTGACAGCATCGGAATGTGCCAAGAGGCATTAGCATTACGGGACACACGGCCTTACATTTCATGAGGCATACACCATTATAACTCAAAACTGAGATCTTGCTGCACCATAAGTGTATCATGCAAACAATCACTTTACCAGTAACCAAAAATATAAGCCTCACCTGAACCCCTGGCTGGCTAGCCAAGTCTAGACCGTTTGCCTCACCGATGATGTCCAAAGCTGAGACGCACATGTCTGGGTCAGAGGAAAGTAAACTAGAAGTCAAGATCACAGCTAGCTCATCACAGACTCGCCTTTCACTCTTGTTAGACTTTATCACCACAGTCACCATAGTTGAAAAACATCCTTTGAGAGAATGCTGGCGGTTAATCTGGGAACAGAAAAGTTTTAAAAATTGTTGGGTAGGCGAAGGGTATACAAAGAAAAACTAAATGTTTTTCAAAGCATTAAGAATCATAATGTCATCATCTTAAGAAAAGTGAATACGGTACACCATGTTTTTCTGCACTCACCTTTTTTGTTTGCTTTCTGTCCATTTTGTTTTCATAAACTTTTTGAATTTGCCATTTCAGTTGCCCAGAGTCACATATATATTTGGGTTCCCAATGCAACAGTGTCCCTTTAACATTTATGATTTTTAAAGACAGACACAGCCACCTCTTTACAGACCCGCAGACGGATCATCCAAGCCAAAAGAAGAGACGAGTGACTAAACAGAAGGGCCAACGCAGAAACAGGAAGATCTCTCTTCGGGTACAAGGACAAACCCAACCCAAAAGACCCTTCGAATCTTTTATGTAGAGCCGATCAGACTTTGATCTTCAGAGCCGGCACAGGACACTTACACACCAACAAGCGCATGAACAGAATTAATCCCATGTGAGAACCCCATTGCAGATACTGTGACTACCACGAGGAGACCGTTGAACATCTTCTCCTTCACTGCCCAAACCTGGCAGTTCTTCGACCCAGGCTCCTACACACACCTACAGACTTACAAAGCCTGCTCTACTCTGGCATTGACCAGATGACAAGGACATGTGGTTACTTGAGGGAGGCTTTGCGCTGCCAAGAGCGAAATGCTCGCAGCTAAAGGGATTCGAAAACAACAACAACAACAACATGATTTTAAAAAGAAGAGTACAAATTTCACACTCCGTTAGGTTCTTTTATCATTGACTGATGGAAAAACAAAACACTGATGTGAACCAGTAAATGTATTTTATTAGAACAGGTTCTACCGTATTTACTCATTTGAGTGAGAATTTTGTGAATAAACAAAAAAAGAGTAAGGAGAAAAAAGACAAAGCAATCACAACAGCAACCTCCCCCCCCAAAAAACAACCCCCAAAACAAACCAAAAACAAAAAAATTAATTCTTTACCTGGCCTGAGAGGGTACTTCGAGAGCTCAAATCACATAGCATGGACTTCAGATATGACCAAATCTTGTCTGTGAAGGCTTCTTCTAGGACAAGACTTTCCAAAGCCATTGAGAGAATTTCTAAGCAGATGCTAGCCACCAGCAGGCAGGATCCTTTGTGCTTTTGGAGCATGTCATCCGCCAAGATAAACTCAATGAGATCTGTCAGAATACTCTCGCTAGGATGAAAAAATAAAAAATAAAATAGGACACTAAAGTATAAAATGAGATAGCAGATAAGTCAATTTGTACAAAGATAAATATTATCAATCTCATGTAGAAAGAAAGAGACAGTGTGCTTTCACCAACTTCTGAGCCTTAAATAAAAATGCATGCAAAACTTTTAAAGCACAAAATAAGGGCAACGCATCTACAGGCACAAATAGAAATGCAGGGGCACTGTTAGACAGCAACGAAGACCCTACATAAAATGTGTAGATTTCTTTTTTAAAAAGGGGACAAAATTGATATTCATTTTTTTTTGCTTTCTGACTTACACTGACTTTTGGTTTACAGGTATCATGTAACAGGCTTTTGGACGAATCGTCAAAACATTCTTCAGCAGGAAGTAACTGTACTAACCCGAGCGTCTTGGTTGACAGTAAGCTCTGACAGGTCTGTAGCCAGCCATGGGTCTGGTTCATGTTGCCCGCACTAAGCTTCTCCATCACACTTTTTAGGACCTCCCCTGTTTTGTCGAGGGGAGTTAACGCTACCAGGGTTTGAGCAGAAAGTTTGCGCAGTGACAGCACTGGGCTGCACAGGAAACGCATGACGTTCTGCTTCAGCATTGGCCTGAATCTGGGAAAGAAAAATATAAAAAAAGGGATGAGGAAACAAACCATGAAGTAAAATGGACATTTGTGATGGCTACATTCCTTTGCTGATACACATTAACTAAACTCTTTCACTACCAAGGGGTTTACCTCACCTAGACTGTGCCTTATCTGTGACTTACTTTCTGATTCAGCCTACCCTCAAACAAGTTAAAGATTTTGAGTTCAATGTTCAATATCAGTCACATGTATTATATATTATATCAAAATAAAAGGGAACTAATGACCTATCTCAACATGTTGCTAAAAATGATCATTCTTCAGCATGATATTTCAGTTTTGATTATTACAAAAGCAGGATTGGTTTTGAAGCCGAATGTGGAGAGCCGTGAAACACGGCTCGCAGTCTAGTGTTGGGAGTAACATAAGTCGTGAAAATGGCTGACACAGACTAATAAACTAAATAGGATTTCCAATTTTTGTCAGTAATACCGGCTTGCCAACCTCTTCAAAACCCAGTAAGGGACACCCAACATTTCAACATCAGAATATGTAACAATGAACAAAATTAGATAAAGTGGGTCGTTTTGGTGTAGTGTATGTGATAAGGTTCTCAGATTTAGATTGCCGAATCCGAGACTGTCTCGGGAAATTAAAGACAGTTCGCTACCTTAGAATTACAAAGTTTTACCTGACCTTGTTGGCCGGTTGGGAGTTATTATGACCATGAAGTAAGAAACTAAGTGTTGTGTCTCCTCTATCAAAATCATGAGATAATTCAGAGTCGTTATCAAGATATTTTAAAAATAGCATTAAAAAAAGCTTAACATGTGAAACTCAAAATTGTTTATGTTAAGTTTCTCAAAATTAGGGACAGAGCGGATAGAACTTTGTACTTCAAGGGTAGCCAGTTGGCACGTCTAGTATTAAAAAGCTGGCTGGTGACAAACCTTGAGGTGTGCAGGTGAGAAGGGGACATGCCCAGACCAGACAGCAGCGTCAAGATGACGTAGAGCGACGAACTGACGCACACACTGACATCCTCACATGCCGCGATGCTGTCACTGACAAAGCTGAGCAAACTCGGGTACTGACTCTCAAACTCTTCCAGCGTGATGCTGCCCTGGTGGTCACTTTTGTTGCGCTGACCAAAGATCCTCATGACCAGAGTGCCTGAAGCAGGTTTCACAGTGTCAATTAGTTTTGAGCCATGAGTTAAGATCATGGCGTCGGTGGCCCAGTGGTTAGGCTCTCGGACTCGCAACCGTAAGGTCGTGGGTTCGAATCCCGTCAGGGGCCCGACGATGCGTCCTTGGGAAAGGCACTTTGCACAAATTTTCCTCACTTCACCCAGATGGAAATGGATACCCGGCTATAGACAGTGAATGATCTTGTCAGTTTGATAGTGCTTCAGCGCGTGAAATCCGCAGCTTGCACTGTATGCTTCCGCGGAAGCCGAGAATGTTTCTGAGTGTTCTCAAAGGTCTGCTGGGGTAATAATAGTTGTAAAGCGCACAGAGCATGCTCTTGAGCATGGATGTGCGCTATATAAATGCAATTATTATTATTATTATTAAGAGTGGTGTTGGACCACTGGACTCCTAATCGCGAGATTGTGGGTTCAGGGGTTCAAGGCACAAGAAGGATGTTGTGTCATTAGAAAAGGTGCTTTACACAAATTTTCCTCACTTCACCAAAGTATGAATGGGCACTCGCAACAGACAACAAAAAATCTTGTTAGTATATTTGTGTTTTAGCACTTGTAAAATGGTAGCTTTGCACTTTGTGTTTCCTAGGAAGTTGATGTTGCTTCAGAATACTATCAGGCCTGCAGGGGTAATAATACAGGTTGTAAAACACATTGAGCTTGCTGTTGAGCAGGAACTGCTGAGAAGGAATTTCAACTACACATGCTATTCATAAATAATATCAAAGAGAGGTGTACTGACATAACGACATCAAGTAAATGCTGGGAAATATCAAGGCAGAAGACATAAATAAAAGAGATGGAGACAAAGTAAAACCACAGTTGAACTTTCCAGCCTCAAGCATCTCATAAACCGAGAGCCCCACCAAGATGTTTACAAAACATCTTTAACACTTTACAAACATTTCAGTATCTGGACAACAAACGTACACATCTGTGTCTCTTTACCAGCCTTAAAAGAGAACTTTACAAAGACTCACTGATCAACTGTGTGGCTGCATTCCTTATGGCCCAAGAGGGTGAGTCAAATCCTTGAATGACCAGCACAGTGGCACGGGACAGGTACGGGAACAGTGCTCGAGCCAGGCTCGCATCTGAGAAGATCACCTGTGGGGAGACCAGGCGGCTGGCTTTTTACACCACAACTTCACAATTGCATTCCTTAGTGCATATCGTCATGGATTCTGCTGTGAATGTCCGCTTACAAGTTAGCATTAATCTGAAAAGCGTATGCAAGTTTCTGCACATATATTTTGTGTTAAGATGAAGGTATTCAAAGCGGCTACAGCTGTATTATATGGGTGTGGGAGGGTTTATGGAGCAAGTAAGTATATTCAGTGTTTAAGGCCATTGGCCCACATCACATCTCATAAACACTCAATTGTTAAATAAAGTTTCCATAATAAAAAAGTACAGGTTGTGCACATATTTCTTATCATGGGTCAAACATTGCATATTTCTGTCACTGGGCCGAGTCAGGCTGAGAGGAATTAACAATGTCCTTATTATGAAGCTAATTATATTGTAATAAGATAGGATGATAATATAGTAAAAAAATAGGTCACCTAATAAATGCAACAAAGCATTATGTGGCGGTACAAAAGCCCACCTGACCCAGAAGACAAAAGAACTAAGATTTGTGCTAGGATGTAACTGACCTTGAGAATGTTGAGAGCATGGCTCTGACTCAAGTCTCTCTGTTGACTGTGATCCAAGGACAAGGGCTGAGAAGCAATACACAGGAGCTGGTCCAGGGTTGACTCCAGAACAGACATCTGTCATGGTCAGACATATAGAAAGCATAAATATTCAAACCATAAACATCCATCTCTTTAGTTTTAGTTTCAGAAAGAGTTTTACAGCACTTGCAACACAGATATATCATATAAGTGTTGAAAATTAGAGGTGTTATTACAGATTAACAAACGAAGAAAAGAAGGAGTAGAGATAGGAATGATAGATGCTCGATAGGAAAAAAGGAGCAAACCACGCCAGACCACCCAGCAACCACCCACCATTCATTTCTATAACACACCGGTTTAAATGCAATTTTGTACTTAGACAGGTTAGCATCTTGGACAGTGTCATAATATTATATTTTTTTAAAAACAAGAGGGGAAGTGGTCGTTTCTACTTAGTTTAGTTTTAGTAAGAGTTTTACGGCACTTGGAACACAATAGGTCATGTAAGTGTCAAAGAATAGAGGTGTTACAAGAGAGTAACAAACAAAACAAAAAAAAGAAGGAGGGGAGAAAAGGATGATAGATGTTGGATAGGAAAAAAGGAGCAAGCCACACCAGACCACCCATCATTTGTTTCTAAAACACACCAGTTTAAATACAATTTTCTACTTTGACAGGTTAGCATCTTGGACAAGGTCATAATGATACTTTAAAAAATCCACAAGAGTGGAAGTGGGAAGCGGTCGTTTCTACAGATGAATGTATTAAATAGTTGGCCAATAGAGCAGGTTCAACTGCATTCTCTTTTGATAATCTGGAAGTCTGGAGACAAAAGGAGTTGAAAAAGAGAACTAATTTCCTCATAAAAAGTTTCTCTTCTCAGGACCAAGACCTGACTCACATTCTTTGTCTTCTTGGCTGCCTGGACAATGGTCTGTACAATGATGGGCAGTCCAGCCGAGCGTCGGGTCACTGAAGCCGTCAGGGTCTGGTCGGAGAGACTGGTCAAAATCTGGGGACAGTCATTTAGAGGTCATATAGCTCTTTGTGCCCACATCAAGTTTCATTAATGGGATTGTTTAAGTTGGGATGACATTGTTTCCACACAAAAATACCATCTACAAAGGGACTATACAGAAGTGCGTGCTTGTATTTACTTTTGTGCTGTATAATAACAAAAGCAAACAACAATGATAAAATACAAACATACTCTATGTGCAGTTTCCAGTAAGGAATTACACTTCAAGAGAAAACAAGAACTCTGAACTTTGAATTTTTGTACATTCTCACCTTATCAAGAATTGTCTTTGGGATATCACAGACTTCAGGCTCCTTGCTGGAGAAAAGTGAAGAGCAGAAGCAGGAAAATCCATTCCGACACCCTTCTATAGCACCCTGTACCAAAATTTAAAAAACAATAGAGAAGGGGGTGGGGGGGGGGGGGGGGTTACACTAAAAAAGAAAGGATTTCCACCAATACATCTAATCTGATACTGGATGTGAAGCCATATGATAGCAAGTCAGTTTGATTTGACAGGTTTGTTATCTACTTAATTCTTTCCTAAACAGTTAGAGATTTTAAAATAATCAAATGGCTTCAAATGTCTCTGGAGAACACCAAAAAGAATTTATGATCGTATTTTAATGTCATGCTGTTGGTAACAACATACAAGATGAGGTCAGTTGAATCTTTAGTAATGGTATAATCTGATACACCATTTCACAGTAAATGATTTCAATAAATGCAGTGGTTGTTGTGGTTAATCCAGTAGCTTTCAGCTTGTGCCCTTTGGCCTTCTGCTATGTTAAATAAAATGGAAGTCTTCAACATTACAACAAAAGTAGACAAAGTCCTTTGTATTCAGGTAATACTTACCCTGTGCCTACAAGTTGTGAGGATTTTGACAAACATTTCACCAACGCTTTCCAGTACAGATATGGGGAGAAGGAAGTTCCCTTCACTCAGAGAGATTGACACAACTTCTCCGAGGCAAGAGCAGCTATCCTAAAGGGAAAGAAAATTTAATAATGAAGAAATCATTTTGCTGGTTTTTCTCTACATTTTTCTCTTTTCATATTTCAAGCATTCTTTTCTTTTGTTGTCGTGGCAAAATAACAGCACAGTAACGTAACACCAGTCAGTTAACAAAAATCTCTCATGCCAGAGATCTCAGTACCTGTTTTCCAACAGGTTTAATACCTTTCTTTTTCCGTTTTAGAGCATTTAGACATTTGTTACATTTAAGGATTTATCTCCAAGAGATATCATTTAGTATTGAGAAAGATATTTCTTAAGCACATGCAATGGATACCACAGATTAAGGAACTGCAATTAAAAAATGTGTTAAAATTTGGGCTGGCCGATGACTAATGCTTCTGTTAACAGCCTCTGAGTAGAAATAATAACTCCCTCTTACTGTGAGGGACAATAAGTGAATTACCTTCAGGTTTATCCAGCACCAGGACAAGAGAAGCTGGAACTCAGGACTCAGCGCCAACATCTCCTCCTCATCCTCATCATCGCCTGAGCCGGATACGAGCCTTTCCAGAGCCATGCCCATTTCAGCAAACGATGGACACTTTTCTAAACAATTACATAAATGAAAATAAAATAAATAAGACTCCACTTTTATTGATCCCATGGAGAAATTTTGTTTACAATGGCGTAACACATACATAAATACATAGCATAAATACATAGACACATGTAGATACATAAATAATGAAACATACAGATATACAGCAAACACACCATTACTGTTTGCCACTTTGCAGCGCCCTGTTTTTATAGCTAGTGTTATTGTGTCTTGCTCAAGGACACAACCCTACTGACCACCCACCTAAACACTGTGTCACCGATGTGTGCTTGACATCTGTTGTGAAACTGAACTCACTAACAACTCACACACTGGACACATCAGAGGTAAAACAATATCAACTTCAATAGTACATGTTAAAAGAAAACCTATTCTCAAACATAAGGGGAGGACCTTCTGCTTCGTGAAAGACGACGAATATGAAAATTCATATTAAGAATTGCTCAAATTCATGAGAACTAGTAAAGCTGTAATTGTTAGATATGCAGAAAGCCATCAAATCACTTTGTCTTACTCAGATGAGACGTTAATTCAGAGTGCCACAGACTTCTGGTGCTCTCTCTTCAGCTCTCATCTTCAAAACAGCAAGTCAAATTGAACAATAAACCAGTTCTATGGTAAGATTACCCAAACATCTTAAGAAATTCCCACAGTAACTTAGACTAGCTTCAAGTATTTTCTTTTCCATAAAACAAAACACAGGATTTATTTATAAAAGGTTTCAAAACTACACGTATTACATACAAAAGTTCAAAATTTTCTGTATGGGTAGATATTTATTTTAAAGAAACTGGCATAGGAAATGTATTCTGAAGAAAAAAAGCTGCAAACTACAGTTGAAATTGTCCAAGATGATCATGTATTGTCAAAGAGAAAAGTGGATGTCTTAGACAATGCAATCATAAAGTATTTAAAAATGCAGGGGAGGGGGGGGGATGAGAAATGATGGTTTCTACAGGTGATTGTCTTGTACAGAGAGCAGGTTTGACTGTATCTAAAAACTAATTTTAATTAATTACTAAAGATTTCATTTTCATTTTTATACTTTCATAGAACATATTTGTGTATCACTACAACCTCAAGCAGAAAGTCATTAAGAGAATACCTAAAGTTTTGCCGCCTGACAAGATGTCCAAAGCCAGATTGATGATTTCCTGATTGACTCGAACAATCTCACACAGCTGGGCAGACCACAAGGCTGGTGGTTCCAGAACACGCTTCACTTTGCTCACGTCCTGTAGACTTCTGGTAACACAGTGTGTCAGACCTGGGGGAAAATATCATTATAAAAAACCGTGCAAAGTAAACTTGTAAATCTGTTATTGGCTTTTTGTTTAATAAGTAAACGTTTTATATTACTTACAACACAAGTAGGTCATATAAATGCGAAGATAGGATGTGCTGTTGGAGAGTAACATACAACCAAAAAAAACCTGAGGTGAAATAAATACAATAGATGTTTTTATAGGAAAGAAGAAATAAACTACACAAGAGTATCTGCCAACCACCCACTTGTAAATCTTGAAAAGAACCCCAAAGAATTTACATATAGAAAAGAAAAAGAGTTACAGAAATACAAGTCTGCAAGCTATTATCTCTCTAACTTGCATCTCTGTTGGTCCAAACACTTCAAAGTTGCTTTATCATCAGAGCTGCATATTCAAACACATTTATTTCAACAAATATAGGAATATCTATAAGAGTGCAATCAAGACTTGTTACAGGTCATGAAATATTTGATACTGATCAAGAGATATCTTTTCTTTTTTCTTTCTTCTACAAACAAGCCAAAGCTCTGCTTTTGAACAGAAACAGCGCAATGCGATTACAAATTTCCACATATAAAACTGAATTTTGCTGATAGGACGTTCTACTTACCATGGATTGAATACTTTTTGAAACCAGAGATGAGATCTTTTTGTACGATAGAGAAACATGATGTCACTTGGCTTGTCATCATCTGGATAAAAGCAAAGGTAGGATCATCCATCTCTTTGTGAGTCGGGGAAGAATCATCTGCTGTGATAGAGATATGCAGGGGCTGGCTGCTGTCATGCTCCAGTCGCAGACCTGATTCCATGACATGGCTGTCAATACAGATATAGATGTACTTTCATTAAGACTTCATACTGTGCAAGAGCTTTTTCTTTTTTGAGCACACTTACTGAAGGGGTTTTGCCCATTTTGTTTTTTGCAAACGCATTGAATTCACAATTCGGGTCACCCGCTGTCATGTGTTCCAATGCAGAGGAGTCGCTTTTTAAAAAATTGCTAAAATCACATATTAAGTCGTGCACAAAAACAAAAAACAGTAAATGTAAACAGTAGGTACGTATTAAAGCCAAAATAATTGAAAGACCAAAGCATTCATTAAGTATGAATATTTCATGTGAGCTTGAATCAAGTCTGTGAAGATTGGAATAAGTTTGGGTTTTGTTTTTTTTCATTTAACCTTTGATTTGACTTTGTTCAGAACAGTACATTGTGTAACTATTGCAAAACACAGCAATCTAAACAACACGGATATATAAGCAGTTACTGCTTTACAAGCAAAAAAATCAAAGAGCTTGCTAAAAGTACTTTAGAATTTTACAAATATCCATAACAGAGCCATCCCTACTAGATTCCCATAATTTCTTAGTGCAAAGAAAAATTCATACCAATGCAAAATAAGGGACATGAGGAGGAGTCCGCTGTGATTCTCGTAGGCTTTTGGCCTGGACAAGAGGGACATGGCCAGGCTCAGGAAGCGTTGGAGGACACTTCTGTCACACAACAGCTCCGACACAGCAGCTCTGTAGTACTTGAGCAGCAGGGAGAACACTTGGTTTTGGATCTGTTGTGGGATGCAAAGAAGACATGATGGCTCAACAATTAGCATTTAGCAGTCAAAATGACGCACAATAAACCATTGTAAAGCAGGGGTCGGCAACTTTTTTAGTCAAATAGGCCACATCGGATCTCAGAGAAGGCCCGCCAGACCAGAGAAAAACAAGGTGTCAAAGAAAGAACTTTGAATCATTTGAAAGTAGCAGTGCGTGTAATGACAATGGCAACTCTTAATTATGAATAATAAATAAGTAGAGGGGCATTAGAAATGGAACAAAATTATTGTATAAGAAAAAAGTTTCTCAATCTTTTTTAATGCCATTCTGCATTCATCCTTCCCACTTTTTAAAAAATAAAATTTTATACATCCAAAACTAAACTTTCTCAAAGTTCAAGGAAATGTCCCCTTCACTTTCAGCTTTCCTTAAAGTACACTCGAACCTGCTCTAACTGCTATTTGTCCAAAACAATTACTAATAAAAACGGCCACTTCCCACCTTGTATTCTTTCTATAATATAATGACACTGTCAAAGATATCCACCTGTTTAAGGTAACCACTCTCCTCCCTTTATTTACCCCAGAATGAACCACAGACATAGTAACGAAGACTGAAACCAGAGAGCTAAGGGCTCCAAACAAAGGCAGAGATACAGACCTCTTCAGCACCATCCTGCAAACACGCCAGGAGAGAGATGACATTGTCACGGCCCCAGAAGTTCCACATTCCCCGGGACTGGGCGTGATCCACCAGCAAACGGCACGACTCTGGAGAGTTGTGGGACATTGCGGTGAGAAAGAAAGAGTAGGAAACAATCATTCTTCCATATCGGTACTGACTGGTGATAACTAGGATGATGACGGTGATGGCAAGAGTTGTCATGAGGATAACGGCAAAAATGAAAACGGTGACAACTGATATATATGTGAGGCTTCGTTGTGAAATCAGGCCCTCATCAAAACAATGAAATCAAAGATACCGGTATTATTCCATCAGTTTGGCAATTTTTATCGAATTGTTTTTTTCTGTGTCAACACCTTTTAAGTCCGTTCAAAAACATATTTCTGTATGAATTTTTCTGGGAAACGTTGATTAAGACACACAAAAAAATGTAAATTTTCAGTTTCCAAGGACTCTCAAGCTTTGGAAATCAAACTTTGGGGGCCATTTTTTTGCTAACTTTACCTCTGAAACCAGGCAACCCCACCTTATTCAGTCATAAACATCTCGACTTCTATTCAAAATAGATGAGTATTATTTTTTTCATCAAAAGATAGACAAATGAACAAGCTTTCAGATGATACCAAGAGCTCTACAAGCCCAAAAGTTGACAAGCACCTGACACATATGCTCTACATCAGTGCTTATCAACCTTTTTGTGGCCAATGCCCACTTTTGTCACCTGAGAGGCTAATATTTTCGTACCACCCACCTACATATATTTCCAAGTGAGACATTAAATAATACCGCAGAGATCCTCAACCTCCACCAAAATTACCAAATCCCCCACTAGTGGGTAATACCACCCTTGTCGGCAAGCACTGCTGTACTTCAAATCTTCAATACGAAAAGTTGAAAAAATGATTGTACCAAAAATCTATTCAAATACATTGTATCCAGGATCTTACTGCTGAGACTACCAATGACAGAAACAAAGTTACTGGCCGCCATAAGGGTCACGATGATGAGACGTGATTACGTAAACTTTAAAAAGTATGTAATATTCATCGAGTAAAAATTTGACATGTGGTGTCATACATAAAGGCAGAATAAAATTGACAGTTTTCAGGACATACAGCTAAGCTAGCAATGAAGGGGACAGACGAAAACCTAAACACAATCAAAATAAATCTTCTGCATAAAGTTATAATTCAAACCTTGTGCCTTTCCCTTCTTTGAGACGACCTGTTCCTGAAAGACCAGCGTCTCCATCACAGCAGACAGGAGGTCAAGGGTCGTCTGTCTCCTCTGATACGATGCACCCGGGGCCAGACTACTCACCAGCAGACTGTAAAGCCAGTCCAGCCAGCTCAGACCTCGCTCTGACAGATAAATTGGTGAAACTTGGGGATTTTAAGAATGATTCTGAGTGTTCTAGGGTCTGCGGGGGTAATAAAATAGATTAAGTGCACAGAACTTGCTGTTGAAGGGGGATATATGCTTCATGAATGCTGTTTATTATTAATTAATATTACTATTATTTAGAGGCAATGACCTAAGGGTACAGCAGAATTTTGTCTTGAACAAAAGTGTACCTCTCTTCTTTTTTTTTAGGTAAGTGTTTTACGGCGTTCGCAACGGCATAAGGTCATATGAGCCCGAGGGACACATTAAATATTTTCAGTTGGTACGAAATTCTGAATTTTGCGAAAGATGGCGGCCGGAGCCTACTCTTATCAATTTGAGCCTAACTCTAAGCAATCACCTAAAAAGGGTTCCTGTGTTCCTCCTTTCTCCTTTTTGCTCTTGCAGGCAGACAAGCAACTGTCACGCACTCTCACGGTCATCTTCCTGATGGCAAACGTCAAACTTTGGCGGAACGGGGTTGAGTCTGTCTTCAAGTTGACTGGGATAAATTCTTTCAACAATGTGACCTCAAGTTCAGATATTGGTTCTGCACAAAGAGAGAAAAATACAATGTTTACGCTCTTTGAGTGAAAAACTAAAGACCTCTACTCTTGAAAAGATAGGTAACCAAGATAACTTATATCACTGCACTATTCACTTTACAATATTTTATCTCCTTACCCTTCTAATGACATAGTAGATTTGAGAGTGAACAACCCTATCAACACAAAAGGAAGGTTTATGGTTAGCAACTAGACACAAGGAAAAGTAAAAAAAAAAAAAAAAAGAAAGAGAAAAATATCAAACATAGAAAGTAAAAAAATCTTCACAATGCAACAATGGAAATGGTTGTGTGCCAAAAGACCTCCCCCAAAAGCAAGTTCATCAAATATGTTACAAAGTCTTACTCAATTTATTAACAGTTGCTCGGAAATCATTAAGAACATGGAAATCTCTGCCCTATTCATCTTCCCTGTTCCGAAATGCAACAGCAACTGCTGCTGTTCTATGGACTATCCTTTCTATAAGTCTTCCACCACTGAGATAACCACACATCTGTGTCAACAGTAACAAAGAATGCAGCAAAGACGTACCCAGGCTCATTTCTGAAGCTTCAAGGATTTTCAAGAAACTTAATCACAAGCAAAGCATTAAATAAGATAATAGGTAAATTATCGAACACAGTTCAATTAGTCCAAGACAACCACAAAACGTCTAGTAGAAAAGTAGTCATCTAATACGGAGTGCCCACTGGGGGACCGACAAACCGATCGCTGAAGCACGCAGGAACTCAACATTCGCTCGGGGTTCCTTGAAGAAAGTTGAACGTGGGTTACTGAAATGTCCCAGCAGGGGATTGTCTTATTCAGGTGATAGTAAGAGCAGGTTCGATCGAATATTAAAAATGGGGTCCTTGAAGAAAGTTGAACGTGGGTTACTGAAATGTCCCAGCAGGGGATTGTCTTATTCAGGTGATAGTAAGAGCAGGTTTGATCGAATATTAAAAATGATTCCTCCACTCTGAAGAACATAATGTATCTTATCCCTACCTGCTCTCTTCACAGTGCTGCACAACAGCAAGACGGCCTCAGCCCTCGTCTCCTCCTGGTCACTAAGCAAGGCTCTGTGAAGGTAGACGCTGTCCTTCAAGTTAACTGCGTGCTGATAAAGGAAAATTTGCAACATTAAACCCACAAGCCATTACTAAGGACACAGGAATTTTTTAGCAAGTGACTTCTTCAACACACATAAAAACTAAAGCAAGAGACAAGCTCCTGTAAAAACTCAAGTATCTGAAACCGCACTGCAAAAAGGCAACACATTCGGTAACATATACTACAATCAAAATTGTATAAGATAGCCACTCATAGTTGAGGAGAAAAATAGCTGTCTTACACAGTGTCATTATAATGTTTAAAAAATACGCAAGGGAGGAAATGCAAAGTGACCATTTCTACAGGTGACTGTCTTGGACAGGTGGCGGTTTCTACAGGAGATTGTCTTGGACAGGTGGCGGTTTCTACAGGTGATTGTCTTGGACAGGTGGCGGTTTCTACAGGTGATTGTCTTGGACAGGTGGCGGTTTCTACAGGTGATTGTCTTGGACAGGTGGCGGTTTCTACAGGAGATTGTCTTGGACAGGTGGCAGTTTCTACAGGTGATTGTCTTGGACAGGTGGCGGTTTCTACAGGAGATTGTCTTGGACAGGTGGCGGTTTCTACAGGAGATTGTCTTGGACAGGTGGCGGTTTCTACAGGTGATTGTCTTGGACAGGTGGCGGTTTCTACAGGTGATTGTCTTGGACAGGCAGCCGTTTGTGCAGGTTCAATTGTATTACGTTTTTTCTTTAGCAGGACTGATGAAATTTAAACTATTTCTTATTTCCCTATTTCCTTTAATAGAAATCCACCAATAGCAAAATGGAAAAACAACACTTATAATGTGGAAGGTGATCATAACATTCAAATTTCAAGGTAGACAGCTTCAAAGAGCCACAGAGGGAAACTTGTTTTATAATATGACACGCACATGAAAAAAGAACAAAGATCAACAGTACAGTATATACAACTTTAAACTTTTACTGTCAGAAGTAATTCAAATGTATTAAGCCCAAACAGCAAAATTTTTCAGAAAAGAGGAAAAAACTGTTTAATGATTTTCACAAGTGTGTCTACTTTGTGTATTTTTTCATGCTTTTTTCAACATTTACAATTTGAACTTTGAAAATATATTTCTTAGGCACATGCAACCCATAACACAGATGAGAAACTACAATTTTCAAAATTGTCATAATTTTGGGCTAAGTACATCTGTACAGCCGGCTGACAATATGCACCATAAACTAGTCGAGCAGTCTCATCTGGATGATGACAGAGGTACTTACATGCAACAGATCTCGGGCCACTCTAGAGACCGTCACCCAGGCAAACAGCAGCCACTGATCAGTCTCACCAGAGCTGTGCTCTCTCAGCTTAACCTCCAGCTCAGACAGAAGCAACGACTCACTTCCCGCTATCATTTTAAGAGTGACGGGCAGCCAGTAAGTGCACGTCTTGATCCTTTGTAAGCTGTCATGAAAAGGAGAAAAAATCAGAATAGAAAAAAAGAAAAAAATGGATTAAGACAAGATAAATAGAGCCACCTGTCCAAGAGAAATAAATGAAATAGTAAAGGGGGAAGAGTCTGTCTTCAAGTTGATTGGGATAAATTTTCTTCAACAAAATGACTTCAAGTTCAGATATCATTTAATTTCCTACAAATTTTTAAATGATGCCATACAAAGAAATTCATGTTTCTAAAGCTTCAATGTCCCATAAACATTGCTCCTGAACAGCACAGAAACATACCTGTCTGCAGAAGTCAAACCATCGATCAAGGCAGACCTCCAGGCGGTTGACCATATCTGTGCAGAATTGTTTCCATGCTGTGAACTACAAAAAGAAACAAATTCAGTTCTGTGACAACTGACATAGAGAAAAAGTAAAAGCACCCCCCTCCCCCCCAAAAAGGAATATAAAACAAAGGAATGAAGAGAAGTTGAGAACAATAGCAGATCAGGCGAAGGAGTTACATCAGAGAAAAGTTGATACAAGAAGAAGAAGAAGAGGCATTTGTGGATGACTTTTACATCTAGAAATAGAAGGGAAATTGGAGACTACTTTTCATAGTCATACTCACATAATTTGCTGTAGAAAAGCCTTGTACACATCTGTAGCAATTGCAGCCATGCTGTTCACCTTCATGCACCTCAACAGGTCAGCCTTTAGCTGCGGGTTCCTTTGTAAAAGCTTTCAAAAGAGAAATGACGTTCTTACATGTTAGTTTTGTTAATAAAAGAAAAGATGGTGCATCTTAAAAGTTCATACTTAGTTTGAAATCTTTGAGAATAAAAGCACTCTGATAAAACAATAATTATCATTAGTGAAAAGAACAACTGCAGTTTCAATTCAAATGCACAAATTTTGTCTGAAAAGGTTACAATAACTTTTTCTTAACATAAAAATGCAAGTGTCCGGATATAAAAAGACTTCCCTTTTAAAATCAGGAGAAATTTTTTTAAAGAAAAAAACAATCAATATAATCAAACTAGTAACCATAGCATATCATTTCCAATCTGCGCAATCTGCATTGTAGAACATCCCCAGCCCCCCCCCCCCCCCCCGACCCCTTTCTTTTTTCAAAGCAAGCCTACATGAAGTTTAGTTTTAGTATGACTTTTACAGAATCTACAACATAAACAAATCATAATATACCAGCCACAGATTAGAAATGTAACTAGAGAGTAACATAGAAAGTAAAGGAAGAGAGATAAGGATGATAAAATCTTTTTTATTAGGAAAGAAGGAGCAAACCACACCAGAGCACCCATCAATCAACTGAGGGTCTATGGGAGAAATGCAAAATGACTGACCTGGGAGCAATCGACATATGGGAGCAACAGGCTGATGGGCTTGTATCTTGCCCGAGAGTGCCACGCCATACACAGGCAATGGTCCAAAAGATGCTGGCTTAGATCCATGTTGTTCTGAGTTCCCCGAGACACCTGACATCTTTGCCAGAGGGATAGAAGACTCCGGAAAATCTCTGTCACAGAATCCGACACTCCTTCCACAGGGCTGTCCCAGTTCAGAGAAACACAGTCAAGAGTTAAGTGTAGGACTGGGCACTCAGAGGACATGAAGAACACTCCATTCACTTTTTCCTTAGTGCTCTCTTGTAGAACAGAGCTATCTTGCAAAGTTGCATCCTCAAAAAAATTTTGTCGTACACTTTCTTCACAGCTAAAGCCATGGTCAACAGATTTGTCAATGCTGGCAGATGATACATTCTGAAAGTTGTGAGCTTTTGTATTTGTTTGTTCCAAAGTGGATGTCTTTGAAGATTTGATGTTCAGTTGCTGAAAAGATTTATTCACCATGTCAAGAGAAGAAGATGGAATGTTTTCCACAGCACATGGCACAGCTTTTTGAAACCAAAGAGACATCAGCTGGAAGGACAAATAGTGATGGGTGGAAGTGCCACAGCACAGAGCGGAGATGTGTGGAAACACAGTCAGCAGAAGTGAGGGTTCACCATAAGACAATAACTGCGAGTCATAACTGACCAGTAAACCTTTCACGATTGCGATAACATGCACTGAAAGGTCCATTTGCAAGCTCAGTTGGATGTGGATATTTAAACTCGACAAGTGGAACTCAACTGAGGTGATCTCAGGACCTAGGGGACAAAAAAGAAAAACTTTGAGAAATACAGTCAACATTGCCCAAGACGGCCACCCATAATTGAGGAGAAAAGTGGTTGTCTTAGACAGGTGGACATCTTGAACAGTTTCATTATAATTATAGAAAAAATGCAAGGGGGAAACGGGAAGTGGTCATTTGTACAGGTGGCTAATATAGCAGGTTCAACTGTATACTTATAATACAACAAGAAAGTTTTTTTACTTTTCCATATTCAACCTATTAGATGCCCAGCAGAGGGCAGTTACTAAAGTGTTGACTTACTATAAACTATAAGTCCATGGCTGCCAACTTTTCAACAACAAAAAAAACGTTCTCTACTGACCTGGTGGGTCAAGATGATGTGCCTTAGCCAAGTACCCGCCCCCTCTAAAATCCTTCACACACTTTTCTCCATTCAATAAATTTATGCTCGGTAACTAAGCACGGTAAGGAAAACAACTTCAATTGGCTTTTGGGAATTATTCAAGTTCATAATTTTTCTTCAGCATTGGTAAGTTTGTGAGGAGAGCAATACTAGAAAATGGAGCATACTTATTTCCTGACACAAAAACGGACTTCCATTCTCAGACCCACAAAAAAGAATAAAACACATTTTTTTAAAGTATTGGTTGGAAGTTATGCAAGTCAGTAAAACTGAAAATGAGAAAGCGTAAACTAACCTTGGCATAGCACGTGAAGGAGATGACAGAAATCTGTATGCATTTGCTGTGGGTCTGGGAAGAGCTTGTAGATCATGGCTATAGCAGTACCAAGTAACAGTATAACATCTTTGTGAGTACTCTGAAACAACAGGAGAAAAAGATGTATCAGAAGTGACTCCTACGAGAAGCTTTTCTGTCTTTTTCTCCTCTCTGGAACATGTTAAAATCTAACGAGATAGAACCTTTAAAACATAGAGGACTATAAGAATCAACAGCCATTATTTTGAGCTTCCAAAAAAAGAAGCCCCTTCAATGACTCCCCTTGACAGATATTTTGTTTGCAATGATATGTATAACAATCTGCATTGAATAAAAAAAAACTTCTCTGAATCATCATACATTATTCTGTATCTGCATAGTGGACCCCTATCCCCTATTCCCTTGTTTTTGAGCAAGGGTTACCTTTAATATAAAACTGCAGTCTAGCACACACAGAGCAAACATGCACATATCGAACAGATTTTCAAGTTCCAAATTTTTTCCTTCCAATACATTCTTTGTATTTAAAAAACATACATGGCAAATTTGTACAAAATGAAAAGACTTTTGTATCCTGTTAATTTCTCCAAGAGCATGCTAGACTATATCTTTTTTGTCAGAACTCCTGTCAGTATTTTAATTACTTAACACATTAAAATAAAGACACTATTGTAAAGAAATAGAAACAAAACATAGAATGCTCCATCAGCGTACTATATAGTACCAGTAGACATACTTTAAAAAACAGAGTGAGCAAGCTGCTGATGATACTGGTCCAGTCTGAAATAGTGATGGTAGCTGTTTTTCCCTCTGCATCATCACCTAAACTGCCTTTTGGTTCCTGGGCAAGGATGGCACTGATGGAGGCTGGAAATAACTGAAGAATCTGAACCGAAAGCTGAAAAATATAAAAAAAGAGAAAAATAAAAGAATAAATCAAAAGAAAATCATGAAAGCCGGACAAATATGAGCAAGTAAGTTATAAAGTAAGTTTCAAGTGAACATCACAACTCCACTGTTATCTGGCTATCTTTAGGGATATCGTGGCCTGAGTACTCAAAAGTTTCTGAGCTCAATGAGCACTCAATCCATAGAATAGCAAGTTCAATTGATGGCATTATTAGACTTGTGTGGAGTGTCACTTGCTGTTAAAATATCTTTTTTACGGTCCTTGGAATGTACACATGAATAAGAAATATAACGATATCAAACCAAATTTGATGGCATAAATTCATACAAAGAAATGAAATGTAACACAAGAATATTATCAATAAACTTACCTTAGCAATCACATAAACATCATTTTCTGAGCGAAAGGAAGCTCCATCATGCTCAGTTTGTGTTGCAACATCTCTCAAGATGCTTGAAAACGTGCTAAACAGCTCTTTGGAAGTTGATTTCACAGTCTTGTTGAGTTCTAATAAAGCACTTACTGAAAATTAAGAAAAACAATTAAAAGAGAGTAAGCAAAAATCTTTAACTTTGTAAGCATTTCTAGAATGAAATCTACAAAAGACTTGTTGCATTTTAGTAAAACTGGAGTTCTTCAACCTCCCAGTTACATCATCAAACTGACACAAACATTACAATAATAATAAATTACATTCTTAAAGTGCTGTTCCAATGCATAATTCAACAATGATTAAAGAAATATCAACATCAATATGTGTCACGACACAGTGGAATCTGGCACTTGTCAATTTTGGGGTACATAGAGTTATTGGTATCATCTTAAAGGTTGTTCATTTGCCTTGCATTCGATGACAAAAATATACATTTATCTTGAATAGAAGTCGAGGTATTTGTGACTGAAGGAGGTGGGGTTGCATGGTTTCAGAAGTAAAATTAGCAAGAAAATGGCCGCCAAAGTTTGGTGACTTCCATAGCTCAAGAGTCCTTGGAAACTGCAAATTTATGTTTTCCGTGCCTTTAATGAATGTTTTATCCATAAAATCCACACATAAGAATGTTTTAAAATGGACATACAACAACAAAAATAAAAGGTGTCAAGCCAAAAAAAAAATTTGAAAAATAATTCCAAACTGGCTGAAAAATGCAGATTTCTTCGATTTCATTATTTTGGTGAACGTCTGATTTCACCATGATGCCTCACATATGATATTGTGACATTATGTGATGAGAGAATGAGATCAGTACCACATAAACAGAGCACAGAAGACTTACTTTTCACAATATCCACCAATGTATGGGTATGAAGAAGTTCTAAGAACTGAGAGTTGATTTGGGCGTTGACATTGCTCTGAAAGTTACTGGGGAACAGCCTGAATGTCTGCAAGAGACAAAAACAACATGAATATTGAGAATTGGCCGGAAGAGTATTTTAGAACAAAATTGCCTAGAAAGTACAAGTACAACGGCTATACATTTTTATATGTCAAAAGAGAAATCCTGTCAACTTGTAAAGCGCTAAACGTATTGCGATGATTACATGTACATGCTGCTTTTCTCAACTGAAGAGGAAAGAAGCTTTAAAATAGCGATATAGATATATCATCATCATCCAGTTCCAGATCTGCGACAGACATCGGCGATCATGGTTTTCCATTCATTCCTTTGCTCGGATGCTCTCAAAAAAGCTACGTTTCCCTGATCTTTCCCTGTTACCCATTTGTTTAGGTTCCCTAAGTATGTTGTTCTGGGCCTACCCCTGCCTCGCTTGCCCTCAATTTTGCCAGTGAGAGCTGTTCAAGACCCTTATGTCTATTCAGGTGTCCCAAAAACTGCATTTGTCGTTTCCTGATTGTTTTTAACATTGAGCATCCCACGTGGGCTTCATCAAGCACAACCTCATTTGATTTCTTTTCCTTCCACAATACTCTTAGCAGTCTCCTTAGAAACCACATTTCTGTTGCTTCTATTTTATTTTCACTGTCTTTAGTGATTGTCCAGCATTCACAGCCATATAGAAGGGTTGACCAAACATAGCATTTCAGGACTTTCATTTTGGTGTTCATTGGGATGTTTCTATTTTTCAGGATTGGGCCCATTTTTATTGAAACTGGCCTTAGCCATTGTAGTTCTTCTTTTTATTTCTGAGGAACATTTGGCGTCAGATGTTATCATATATCCTAGATATTTAAACTGTTGGACTTGTTTGATCTTTTCACCTTTGCTAATGAGATTACATCTAGGGTTTGCTGCTTTTTTGGATATTACCATGCATTCTGTTTTCTTTACATTCAACAATAATCCTTTACGTTCACTTTCCGTTACAACAGTATCTAGAAGCAATTGAAGGTCCTTTTCAGAGCCTGCTATTAAAACTGTGTCATCTGCATACCTGATGTTATTAATATTTTCTCCATTTACCTTGAGGCCTGGACATTCTTCTATGTTTCTAAGAATTGTTTCACTGTTCATGTTAAAGAGGTCTGGAGACATAACACAGAGATATATTCGTGAAAAATAGTAAAGAGGTGTAACGCCCCCTATCAACACTATTAGTTTGATATATTCGTTTCCAGGCCTGGTATCCACCTGATGGAAAAATCAAATGATAGAGCCATAACAGTATCAGTTAGCCAGACAACAATACTGTGCATGAAATCCCTTTACTCTATAGCAACCAGATCACTATGGTGTCTGTGGTGCTGAATATACACGGAAGACAAAAATGAGAACCAATATAACAGGATTTACAGGAGACTGAGTAAGTTATCTCAAGACAATACATCAGTTAAAAAATTAAAATACAAACATTACATATTGTTTAAGAAAACCCACACAGTAAAAGAAACTTTAAAAAAAAAAATATTTCTTTGACTTTGAACTTCACTGCACATTAGAACTTCTATATATACAGAGCATCTGAGGATTAGCAAGAATCTGTTGGGTTTTTTTTTTAAAGGAGAACTTCATCTTGGCATGAGACAATACAAACTGTAGACCTAAAACGAGCCAGCACAAAGTTTATGAAAAACAATTAATTGTGTGCTTGAGGTCAGAAAAGAAAAAAAAAAAAAAAAAGCCAGGGACACCATGAAAATTGTCCAACCTTATCTAAAGCTCTTGTCAGTTTAGCAGAGTTGACAGCGCGGAGATACGCTTCCACAGAACGTTGGGACAGATTCTGGAGCTCTCTCTGTTCCTGATCACTTAAGTTAGGAGGGATTCTGAGCTGAAGTTGGTCCAATCGCCGAATTAAAAGGAGGACATCTTCAGATCTGAGGGCACAAAACACTTTGACACATTTTATATGCATTATATAATGTATACAGTAGAACCTACTTTAACAGCCACCTGTCTAAAACAAATACCTGAACAAACGACGACTTCCCATTTCCCCCTTTGTGCCTTGTGGGGGTTTTTTATGACACCGTCCAAGACATCCACCTAAAGAACTACTTTTCTCCTCGACAATGGGTTGCTGTCTTGAAACAATTTTGACTGTACAGTTGAACCTGTGTAAGACGGAATCGAAAGGGAGCCAAAAAAAAATTCTGTCTTAGACAGGAGAATTTAGGGGGAGATGGTAAGGTGGGGGGGGTTCAAAGGCCCAGCCGGTGGGATCAAGGGTCACTTGATCGGCAAGCAGTGGTCAAAACTTCACACCTCTCAATAGCTATTCTGTCTGATAATGACATGCGTCAGTCTTACTTATCCAATTACCACGCTTTCCTTTCATAGGACCAATGTTTGACCTATTTAAAAACAGAAACGTTTGAACATCTCCTTTACTTCCACCCTTAGCCAGATCCACCGGTGTAACAAGCACAGTCAACTAATTCCATCCCTCACTGCCATCACATAACAACGATTCAAGGAATTCTCATCTCGGCTGGCCGTACGATCAGGGCGGCGGGCATTGGTCAATCTAATTTCACACCGCTATGGCTTCTGGCTACCCAAGAAAGTTTCTATAGCGGCTGGCTACTCAAGCACTCTCACGAGCAGTTGTAAGATTTCACACCCACACTACTCTGACCATCTGCATCGCTCAGGACTCACATGATGGGGTAACATCAAGGAGGGTAACATCTACCCCCAAATTGCACCCCTACTCCCCTTCCTCGCGGGCGAAACCAAACTTGTGAGTTTTGTTTCAAATCAGGGCTGAGCGGGCAAAGCATTTTTCGTCTTAGACAGGTGAAACCCTCAGAAGGGAGCAAATTTTTCTTTCCCTTTTATACAGGTAATTAAAGAGGAATATATCAAGGGGGGAGCGGGCAGATTCCGTTACGACAGATTTCCGTTTTACACAGGTTTCCATAAAGGCAGGTTCGACTGTACTTCATTGCTACTATGACGTCACTCATGTTTTGACCATTTCTGAGCCAGAAGAGTAAAGCCAATATATTGTGCTTAAATTGTAAAATTTCTATTTGACGCAGTAAGATACAGTTCATGGTGGACATTAATTTTCCTTCATGGCGAGGCAAAAGCTACAATTACTACCCACCCACGGAATCTCTGATGTGACAGAAAAAAATTGACTGACAAAACATATTTCTATACAGGAAGATAACAAAATGAAGGCATTCATCCAGGCACTACTCAAGAGTATAATGCAACAAGAAATCTTAAAGAGGAGAGGAAGTTGAAAACCATAAGTTAGGCCTACCATATCTGTGCAAATGGCATTCAGAACAGTTGTTTTTTTTACCTGTACTTATTTACTTCATCAAGAATTTCGCCAAACTCTGTGAATAATGTCATCTTCTCGGAGCAATCTGGGAAAAAAAAAGAAAACTTTAATCCAACTAGCTCGATCGGGTGTAAACAATTTAAAGAAAATTCTCAATGAGATGTTATCTTTTTTATATTGTATAGTCATCATGCACACATGTTGTATACTGACTCTTTCCATTGATGATTTATATACAGGTACAACTTAAAAAAAACAACCTAGTGGTTGAAATAAACCTGTGATTACTAGATTCTATAATAAATGTATAAGCAGAATAGCAAAGTCTGCAATTTAATTTCTCAAGAACTAATACATGGGGGGTCACTCATGAGGACAATTATATTAATGTGTTGCCCTAGGGAGATCCCTTACACATCATAGAAGGTTTATATAAATCTGATACTATTTATCGTTGCGTGTAACCGGGGCTGTAGTCTTAGCTTAGCATAGGCCTAACTGTTACTGTTATGATGCAGCAGACGTACTCGTACTCGTGTGTTCTCTGCTGGTGACAGACTACTGAAATTAAAGGTACTTATAATAATATGATTAATATGGGGGCCTTCTATCACCATATTATGATGGTGACCATGGCAGTGATTATCGGTTAGTGCCCCAACCCTTGCTACAACAGGGCACTTGACAATGGGGGATTTGATTATTGGATACCCCTTGAAATTGACGGGTAGCCTACGTAGGATGGGAGTGGCAGCGTGAGCCTATAGTGAAGGGAATCATCAAATGTTTGCCTTTCAGACCTTTCTGAACAAATACTTCAAAACTAAGCCAGCATCAAAATCGTTCAAAATCAAACAATACAATATATAGATCTAGATTAGATATCTAGATTCTTAGGTAGAATCTAGATCTTTCAGTCATTAGTCATTAGGTCTAGAGCTCGAAACCTTCACATAGAGAGGAGGCAAATCGCTGTCGTCGAAAAGAGACATAAATGGCTTAAGACTTAATAAGACTTAAGTTAGAGTGATGCCATAGGACAGTGTCCATCATCCATGATGTCTAGCCCAGTCAATGCCCATTGACACACTATACATGTACTCACTCAAGCCTACACAACAAGTAAAATAGATCAAACAAGAATCTCATCATTTAGAGTATGTCCATCCCATTTAGGGATAATATACCATTTGCATTTAGGCCTTATTTGAAATTTCAAATTGAGGAAAAGACAAGAGTATGTATACACACGTCAGAGTTCGGAACTCCACCGCGTTTCTCAAAAGAGCGTGTAATGTGTTAAGTCCCGAAGGCGCTACACGCGTGTAGTGTGTTACAAGACAGTGGGCGAGGAAGTGACGGATGCGACTAGGCCTACGCTACGCCGCATGGTTGACCCCAAGAATGAGGTCACGCCAACCCTTTCCTCTCTAACTATAATACTCTCTAATAAATTCTACCAACAGAAACAATTAAATATAAAGTTTCAATTTCAATAATCTTAAGGCAATAATAGACATATGTAATTTTGATTCTTATTGTATCATTTACTCTTATGAGATTGACTGCAATCCACGAAATTCTGTAAGCAGCCTTTTGAGGTTTAGAGAGTATAACAAGCGGGGTCAAGCAACATTGAACAACCATACAAAGAGGCTTGGAATGCGAAGAATTTTGAGGTTCATTAACAGATCTTCCATTGTTTATAGCTTGTTGACGAACTGTTTGCTTCTGTGACGGATATATTTCTTGATTCACAACTGGTGAGTAGCTTTATTTGTTCAGTTGTTATGTCATTTACTAGCTATATTCGTTTTAGATTTGGTTACAAACTTTTTTAACACTCGACTGACCCAACAAACATGAACGCCGAGTCGAGCCTGTAATGGCACGGTATTACGAAGTCGGCGGAGGCGAAAGCATAATAACGAGGGACGCGGAAAGTGGTTCATTTCCACGGAATTTTTGTGTGTATTGACAAGATTTCCCACAATCTATGTAAACTGGGTTTGTTCATACCATAAAAGCTTTTAGTCTGAAGCAACTAGGCTATGGTTTCGGTTATTGTGTTGTTCTTTCTGGGCCACTGCAGTCAAGTGTGTTGAGAAGGCAACGTCGTCCAAAGAACGCTGATCTTGATTAGGCCTTAAAATCTTGTCTTGTCTACTCTCCCGTGCTTACTACGATATTCTGATGTTTAGTTTGTGATAGATCTAGGCCTAGGCTTGTAAATGTTTGTGTTGTTGGGGCTAGGGGTGCACTATTCAACAGGCTCGGGTTTGACATAGCTAGATCCATCCAGAAGAGAAACTAAAATTCTGTGATCTGACCTGACCGCAAGTTCGAAGGAACCGGGGCACTAGTTTGGGAATGACGTAGATCTAGATCTAGAAGTAGAAGAATATCATAGACTATAGAATTAATCATGTCTTGGAGAAAAAAAAAGCAATGCGGTACACACATATTAAACACATATAGATCTAGGCTAACATAGACCTTTTATAAATATAATCACTTTCTTGATAGTAATTGCTTACTTCAAATTCAAAGGAATTCGTACTTCAAATTCAATGAAGTTGAGGGGTAAAGTCAGTGTATATGAATCGGTTTCCCGAGAAGCCACCAGCACAGAGGAGAGTAGCAAGTGTTAACTTTTAAAAAGTAAACTTCTTTGGGGAACTGTAAGGTTTACAGAGTATTTAGATCTTTAACCTGAACACTGAGAACTGTTTAACCATGTTGTACCCCTGTTTTCATCAACCTGTAAAAGTCATTGGGAGAGTAAGTGGGCTTGTCTTCTATCTATCATGAACAAATACTAAAAATACTAAAATTTAAGGCCGGCTCTGTTTCTCCGAACGGTTTCTGTTCTCAAGATTTGTTGATAATTTGCAAATGGAGTGGCCCGCGTGCGCGCACTCTTGTGTGTGTGTCAGTGTGAGTGAGTGTGCGCGTGACCCGCATGTGTGTTTATAAGGTGTGAACTGGGGGCGTGGAGAGATTTTGTTTTTGTTTACATGAGAAGGATTTTAGTGTTTCCTTTAGGGGCTATTTCTCGCAGTACCTTTTCGAAGCATTTTCAAATGAAGTATAGTAAGTATATAGTCCGGGAACGTTGCCCGAACCACAACTGAAGTATCTGAATATTCAGACATTTAAAAATCTCTAGATCTAGCTCTAGAAATTGAAATCGATGCAAAAAATGCTTCTTCCCAGTCCTCGCAGAATGGCAGAATGAAAGATGACGCCTAAATCTCGCAAATAACCCCAAAATCTCGAAAACGGAAACGGTCATGAGAAATAGATCTAGATCTAGAGATGAAGTTTATTTTCCCAAGCCCAAGCGTTCTGCACGGTTCGGAAAAATAATCACTTCGAAAATTTAAGGCGGTCTAAGACAGTAGGCCTATCACTTTAATTGACTTTGTAATTGTGTAGCGGCTGTGTGACTGAGTTACAACATGTTGCTACCTTCTCTGTGCAACTTCATCTGCTAAGCATTCGTGTGTTATGTATGTACAGTGTCTGAGTGTATTATTCTTTTCTTCTTCTGGTTCATATCACACTTGAAGTCCAGTATCTATCATACTGGGCTGTCTTGCAGTGAGTTTTCTTTGTTGCATGCAGGGGCTTGAGTTTGATTATATGTGTGGGAAGAATTTTTATTGAGTATCTCTGTCGTTTTGATGTGACGTTGTAACCCTCTCAGTCCTTACAGACAAGGTAATGATCTAAATTGTGTTAAAATTAAGTTAATGGGTGTATAAAACATCTGCTTTTTAAAAATAAAATGAACCTTGTAATTAAAGATCTCTAGGATCAAGTTTTGTTAAAAGTAGTAGTGCACTCTTACTCGACTGGTTGTTTAAGTTTAGAAAAATAAGCTTACCAGAAGGCTTTACGAAGGAATATTTTTTTTCAATTTTTTTCAAATGTGCACATTCATTGTGCTTGTGTGTCAACTTAAAAATTCACATTGTTGAAATCAAAATATTCTCTCTCTCTCTCTCTCTCTCTCTCTCTCTCTCTCTCTCTCTCTCTCTCTCTCTCTCTCTCTCTCTCTCTCTCAAAAATGATTGTGGGGTTTTTTTCTGTTATCTTTAGGACACTGCATTATAAATTCACCCTCACTTTCTGACTTGACGACATCACCACTTAAAGAGATAAGGACCCATGGTGTGTGTGTGTGTGTGTGTGGGGGGGGGGGGTTGCTGTCATTATCTTTGAAGTTTAGAGCCCCCTCCCCCCTCCTTTTTTTTTTACATTAGGTTAGGTAGTTGCAATGTCCCTTCAACACCAACCAATGCCTACTTCCTAAAGGGGTTGCTGTTTGGTGGGCACCAGTGTACAAGATGTCTCTTCTTATTCCCAACTTTCTCTCTGTAGAACTTTCTGTCTTCGTCCTCTGGTTTCCTCATGATCTTCCAGGCTGTCTCTCCAGCCTTCATCATTTTCTTGTTCCTCATGATCTTCCAGGCTGTCTCTCCAGCCTTCATCATTTTCTTGAACTTCTCTCTCTCCCTATCTTTTTCTCTGTCTGTCTCTCTCTCTCTCTTCTCTCTCTCTCTCTCTCTCTCTCTCTCTCTCTCTCTCTCTCTCTCTCTCTCTCTCTCTCTCTCCCTCTCCCTCTCTCTCCCTCTCCCCCTCCCCCCCCCTCTCTCTAGTCTCTCTCTCTCTCTTTCCATCTCGCACTTATCCCTTCTCATACATTTTATTTTATTTTCGTTTGCCGGTTTCATTTCCCCTTTCTCACTCAGTTATTCAGCTTGAGGCTTACTTCAGAGTGCGGCTCATGTCTTTTCAGTCAGGCCCATGCTCAATAATTATTGTTAATAACTTTAGTGAAGTTTATATTTTTCTCTCTCAACAAGTGCTTTCAAGTGGAGGGGGGGGGGGGCGTTTGCATGGCCCTTGAAGTAAAACCCAAAGGTTTCTCAAGTTTCTGTGCAGAATGACTTTCTTTGGTGTCGTTATGGACAGTTTCTAATTTCTTTAATGATGGTTTACCTCTATTTGACATGATACGAAGTACTGTTATTTCATGGTATATCTAGCTCTTGCCAATAGGCTCTGTGGGATGGTAAGATTCTTACAGCTTCATTCTTTTTTTTCTCCTCTAATGGGTGGTTTGAATAAAGGAAGCACTTGTTGCTGCCTCATTGATTCCTACTTCTCATTATCTCACTTTTCCTGCCACTGTCAGGCCTCTTGTACTTTTTATGGGATTCATTCATTCGTCAGGAAAGCAATCATGTCGAGTCCTGACTTTGCAAGTTGATAGTCATGTCTGCTGGGTTTTCGGGGGTTTTTTTTTTGGGGGGGGGGTTTCCAAGTCAGGAACTGGTTGTACTGTGCTATCACTGCACACCACTTCTTTCATTTTGTTTTTTGATTACAATACTCAATACATATTGTACTTTTAGTAAGTTTTTTTTATGGGTGGGTGAGGAGAGGTTTGTGCTGACCGCGTTTTCTCAGTTTTTGAGCTAATGTATTCAGGCAGTTGTTCGGATTCCAGTTCTCCCTCGCTTGGAACTGCCGCCTACCCACTTCTCTTCATGCCTCATTTTGTTCTCTCGTCCCGTTTTCTTTTTCTACTTTTTTTTTCTCTCTTATTAATCGTGACACGCGCGCCCAGTCTCTGGGCCGTGTGGTGGGTGGCAGAGGGTGCTGTGTTCTGCGCTCCTCGGCCCGGGCATGCTGCCGTTGCAATGTGTACGCGTGCCTCCTCGTGTAGAGAGAGCTTTGTAAGAAAAGTATTGCGTGGGTGTCAATGCGAAGGCACGTGAAGTGGTGAGTGAATGAGTCACGAGCCAGCAGAAAGCAGACACAGGAATAACACGACAGAGGCCGGCCTGCACCTACCTTGCTCAGGTGTTTCTTACCCTTTTCTTCTGTTACCTGTCTGGTCTCGATGCTCTCTGATGATATTATTAGTTGCGCTGGATGGAGGAATTCGGGTAGTTCTTTCGCTCTCCTTTTCCGAACCATTGATTTTTTCTCTCTCTCATCCTCGTCCCTTAAAGATATTTTTCAGAATGTTATATACACTCCCTTCCAGCTCATCATCCTTCCATTTCTTGCTCCTTTTCCGAGATTGGTGGGCACACGAGTTCAGCTTGTTCCTTCTTCGTTGGTGTTGTTTTTGGGTTTTTTCATTTTGTTTTCAAAACTCTTTCATGGATTCTTTTACGTTCAAGATGTGTTGGTTTATATTATCTGCTTGAAGCTTGGAAGTGCCTATGTATTCCACCCCCCACCCCCCACCCCTTTCTCTGTAAGTCTGTGTTCCACTTTTATTGAGTTGTCATGCGCACGTAATATTGGAAAAAATATACTCGTGAGAGTGAGGGGTGGTTGATTTTCTTCAGGAGGGAAGGAGGAAGCTGGGGGGGGGGGGGGGGGGGGGTATCTTCGCAAATTAAAAAAAAATGAGTATCCCTTTTACGATTGTGCATCCACAAGTGTATCAGAAATAATGCAGTGCGTGATTAGTGTGACTTGCAGAAAACTGTTTCGATCAACTCGACAGAATACTTACTTCAGAGACGACGCTCGAATTTTTTGTGATGCACATCATGCTTGTGTGTTTTAATTGGTTCTTTTATCAAACATCTCGATTGGTCTTGTTTTGCGAGATATGAGAGGCTACACCGGTGTTCTGGTTTGTTGCATGAGTCGAGATGCTGAGTAGTGTCGGCACCGTGCATGGCCGCTGTGCGCTCTTGGCTTTGTCGGGGCTGTGGCTGTTCTATCTAGACTG